ACATTGACTTCCCAGGCCTTACTTCTGGGATCAGACAGGAGATCAAGGCCTCAGTGGCGCGTTTGCACCTCAACATGGGACATCCATCACGCGAGGAGCTTTGCAGACTCCTTGCCTATGAGGGTCATGTTCCAGATGAAGTATATGAATGCGCAAGAAAGCTCAGATGCGCAACTTGCCAGCGTTTGAAACCTCCTCAAGCACCAAGACCATCAACAACTCCGAAGTTATTGAACGGCCAGTTCAATGATGAGGTCCAGGGTGACATCTTCTACTGCAGAACCTTGGATGCCACAACGTTTATGGTTGTGGGCTTTGCTGACAAAGCCACCGGGTTTCATCAAGCCCTCGTGCTTCCTGACAGGCACGCCAACACCGTGTTTGAAGCCTTTGAGCAACTTTGGCTTCGACCCTATGGCATCCCTTTGAAGGTCATGACAGACCCTGACCCCTCCTTCCGTGGTCACTTCCAGGAGCGACTTCAGGCACTTGGATGTTTACTGGAGTTTTGCCCTGCGGAGAGCCACTTTGTCATTGGCATGATTGAGCGGAGAAACAGTTTGCTGAGAACCATTTTGGAAAAGCTGATAGACACCTTTGGCATCAACCAGGTGGACCAGTGCTCAACTGCACTCGTGGCAGCCTGCCATGCCATCAACTCAGGAATCCACACCCATGGACGGTCAGCCTACCAGGCCGTTTTTGGGAAGCAGCCAAGGTTGATCGACAGCAACTTCAGCAATCCTATGGTTTTGGCTTCTTCATCACCGATTGCTCAGCTTCAGGATTCAGATGCTGGACTTCGAGCTGAGGTGGTTAGAGCCGAGGCCGCCAAGATCATCCAAGACCTTGATGTTTCTCAACACCTTCGACGTGCCTTGCTGAGAAGGACAAGGGCAACCAAAATCCCAGACCTGATGCCAGGTCAACCTTGCGCCTTCTGGCGCTGGGCCCGCAGAGGCCAGAAGAAGCGGGGCACTTGGGTGATTGCAAGGTTCCTATCTTGGGACCCAAGTCATCCAGGAAAACAAGCCTGGGTGAAGACTGGAGCGACTTCAATTTTGGTGACCGCCGAGCAGCTGCGTGCGGCATTTGGTTTTGAGCAGTGGACCCCTGAAGAAGCTGACATCCGAGCACTTCGTGATGCCTCTCAGAAGTTCAGCGACCATCTCTTGAGGGATGAGCAGGGTCCACCACCACCAGACAACCTGATGGTCGATGACGACACCATTGACACCAATGCCAACCTCGACATCAATGCCGAGCTGAACGAGCCCTTGGCATTAACAGTGCCATCACTACCACAACAGTCACAAGCAATTCAACCTATGTCACCACAACCACAACTTGAAATACCACATCTACAGCCGACAACCATGCAACAAACCAGCATACAAGCACACCATCAACAACAACAACACAACACGACCATCAACCTGCACACCAGCCCAGAGCGAGTCACCAACCAGCTCATCCAGCAACAGCAGTTTCACCGATATGGACATGTGCCAGGAACACCAGTCTCACGAAGACGTTCCCGCACACCAACAAGCAGACGCCTAACACAGGCGCCTCAACAAACACCCACCACGGCAGTTTCACCACAGGAAGCCACTTTGGACTTCCCACCTGATGCACAACCAAGCCAGCGGCATGCATTAGCAGACCCATATCAAGAACTACCTGCACAACCTGGCAGCACAGAGCATCAGCACACACCGGCATCGCAGGCAAGAGGATCCAATGCAACAGGATCCAACACACGGCAGCAGGCAACAGAACACCCTACTTCAGCACTACCAGATGGCTTCATACCACAAACACCACCGATCACAGCAGATGATCAAGCCATCAGCGTCTCCTCAGGGAGATCAACACCTCCACTACAACTACCACAATCTCGACAAGTAACACCACCTACAACATCAACTACACATAGACCTTCTCCAGAACCACAACAGACGATCACTACTACGTCCACCCCACTAAGAACAGAAACACCACAACCAATGCGAGATGGACCATTGCCAACACTACCTCAAAAACGGGACTTTGAGTCCATGATGACAACATTGGTCCAAGATGAGCAAGGCGTGATCCACCGTGATCCAACCCACGTCCACGCACAGCCGTGCTATGGACCAGCCTCAAGGGTCTTTCAACAGGCCTATTGGGCCACAAGCCAACGCCGTGAAGACCTGCGCAACGCCCCTGGTAAATCACCTGATGAATCAGACACCACGGCAGATGAATCAGACGACAACAATACAGCACATGAGGGCCAGCAACAAGAGCCCGACGAACAACCAGCCCTTCACCAACAAGCATTCGGCAAGCAGACATACAACAAGCAGCTTGACAGACAAGATGCCAAGAACAAACAGGCACTGCAGCAGAAGCTACACAGCAAGATACAAAGCATGAAGCATCAAAGACAAACACAGAGAGCACAAGACATGGCAATTCACAAGCAAGGCCTCTCTCGGCAAGAACAGAAGGCACTGGATCGTGAGATTCCATGGAGGACAATCTTAGCAATGCCTCCAGCCTACGTTGACAAGTTCTTGGCCGCGATCTCCAAAGAGGCCAACTCATGGCTTGAATGGAACTCAGTAGAACCTCTTTCACCAGAAGAAGCTCAGAAGGTTCTGAAGGACCCCTTGCTTTCCAAAAGAATTCTGCCGTCACGAGCGTGCTATCGTGACAAAGCCTGCGGCATTGGAGAAGTTCAGCCGAAGTGTCGCATAGTGGCGCTTGGACACCTTGATCCAGACCTAGCAACTTTGAACCGCAATGCTGGAACTCCAAGCCGTTGCACTGAGCAGATCATGTATGCCATGCTTGTCGCAGGTTTGAACTGCGAACTCTTTGATACCACTCTTTCATGAATAGCTTGGACTGGAGATGCCTCTACGGCTTTTCTGCAAGGACAAAATGCTGATCGCACTATGCCACTTTTTCTACGACCTCCTCAAGATGGACTGATCTCTATGACGCAGCACTGGTCAGCTCCACTCTATCGAGTTCGTGGCAACGTGTATGGCTTAGCAGATGCACCAGTCACTTGGAGCAAAGAAGTTTGCCGCCGACTGCAGAGCCTGGGCTTCACACAACATGACTTCGACAGGCAGCTGTACCTTCTGCGAAAGGACGGCCAAATCATAGCTGCCATCATTGTTTATGTTGATGATTTCCTTGGCATAAGTAGGTCTGACCATGACCTTAGTTCAGTTCATGGTTTGTTCAAATGGGGAGCTCTGAATTACTTCCAAGAAAATAAGCCAATAACCTTCAAGGGAAAGGAACTGACCCTGAAGCGCAATGAGCACCAGCGCTTCTATCTGCACATCACATTGAAGAAGTTTCTGGAAGGCATCGAGTTTGGCGCCATTGCCAAAGGTCGATTGCAAGGTTCGCCTGAGCTTTCATTGGACGAGCGCAAGGAACTGAGAAGCATTTGCGGATGTTTGCAATGGGCCGCATCCCAGGCCCGACCTGAGATTGCTGCGACGGTCAGCCTGTCTGGCCATGGCGAAGAGGCAAAGATCACAGACTTGAAACAGCTGCATGCCACTCTCAAGTATGTCAAAGAGACCCCGCAGTATGGAATCAACATCATGGATGTACCATTCACCCGTGATTCTGTAGTGCTGGGATATAGTGACAGCAGCTGGGCGAATGCGCGAAAGTCTGGCAGCCAGATCGGAGTTTTGGTGGGCCTGACGACTCCATCCGTCAAGACCACAATGGCACCATTTACTTTGCTGGATTGGCGCTCAGCTCGTTCACCGCGAGTCTGCCGATCAACTTTGGCTGCTGAGGCGACCGCTGCTGATGAGTGCGCTGACCGCTTAGCCTATGTGAATTTGTTCATAAGTGAACTGATGTATAACCAAGCAGCTCACCGAGTAGGTAGTAGGTTAGCCACCCTCCAAGCTGTAGATGCCAAGTCGTTGTTTGATGCAATCATGAGCGAGAACCCATCACTCAATGATAAGCGAACCCTGGTGAGCATCAGGGCAATTCAGGAAACAATTTCGAGTAAAGAAATTCGATGGGTCCCAACACGTTTTCAATTTGGTGACGGCTTGACGAAGACAGATGACAAGCTTCTGGAAGCTTTCAGGCGATGGCTCAATATGCCACTTGCCGTTTTGACCGAGTCACCAGAAAACCAGCCATATGAGGAATACCTTTTTCCCCAAGGTGCAAAAAAGAAAAACACCAGTGAAAATGTCATGCAATCCATGTCAACCAGCTGATACCGTTTGCACCTTGTGGCTTGGCTTAAGGGGCCCTGAGAGCGTTGTTACCTTTTCGCATTGTGACCGATGGATGGGTGAAACATTGCAGCATTGAGTCCGTGCATTTGCCATTGCACTTTGTGTGTTTCATCTGACTCCGATTAGTTAACAACATCTTGAACGTAACAACATGTTCAGCGTAACAACATCTTCAGCACATCAAAACCATCAACGTAACAACATTTTCAACGTAACAACATCTTCTGGTGACGCAATGCCATGAACGTTAACATCCCCCCACCCCTTTTGTATGCTTATGTCTATCAGAGAGAGACTCAAGGTTCCTCCATGCTCCGTGGAACCTCAAGCCTCTCTATATATGTCTGTGTGTGTTATCGTATGTTGATGTTAATGTTAATGTTACTGTTAATGTTACGTCATGTCATGTTATCGCATCTTATGCCATGCCATGCCATGTCATGTCATGTCATGCCATGTCATGTCATGTCATGGCATGCCATGCCATGTCATGTCATGTCATGGCATGTCATGTCATGTCATGTCATGGCATGCCATGCCATGTCATGTCATGTCATGTCATGGCATGCCATGTCATGTCATGTCATGTCATGGCATGCCATGTCATGTCATGTCATGGCATGCCATGCCATGCCATGTCATGTCATGTCATGTCATGTCATGTCGTGTGTGTGTATATATATATATATCTGTCTGCAGTGGCCGAAATGAAGCCAGATGGTTTCAAGAGAGCTGGCCCGTTTGCGCGCGTCTTGCGTGTGGAACCCACCTTCCAAATGCCACTCGCAGCACCAGCTGGGTTTGTCCGAAAACGGAGTAGGGATGGTAGGGGCTCCAATTTTGTTGATTTTTGTCGTTTCACCATTTTACTGATTCAGACTAGGAGCATTTTCCCTTCAGCAGATGTATTCCTATTCCGAAAGATGATGATCACTCTGAGACACTGGAATTGTTTCCCCATTTTCAGTCAAGCCCATCTGTACATAGAGACTGATTTGTGCTGGGCCAATTTGTGTCCCAGTGACTCGGCCGCCGTTTGCATAGGCACAGGGCAGGGCGAGCCCTCGACCGAAAGAAGGAATCGTTGGATGTTTGGGAGAAATCTAGGAGCGGAGCCTCCAGACATTCAGATAAACTGTTATTATTGGAATTAGGTGGTTCACGATTGGTATTCTCAAAGTCAGTGTTTATGTTGTCTACATATATATATATATATAATTATATATATATAATATTATATAATGATGTCCGAAATTCAGTTCGTGGCCATGGTTCCAGTGTGCCATCAGCCAGGCCAAGCCTTTCCTGGATGAAGCCAGGGATTATTTGGAAAGCCCTCACCTTCTCCATGTCTTCAGGCGGTTCCCAGAGCCGATTCGTTTTGAGTCGAAGGAGTATGTGCACAAGGTGATAGTTATGGGGTTAATGACGCGATACAACTGAGATCTCAAGCCGGGATTTCCCTTCCCAGACTCTGGTAAACCAACAGTTTGCTATAGAAAATCACAACGTTTCATGGATAAATCCACCATCGATGGCCATTTTCTTATTGCGACTCCTGCTTGATGCAGGTCAGTCTCGAATGTGACGGCTGAGAGACTGCCGCAGGAACTGGCAAAGACTGGAGGGAAGGTGGGTGTCTTACTGGCTGAGAATGGTGAGAACGACAAACGGCCATGACATGAATGACGGTACTGTAATAGACTGCATTTTTGATGCTAGGAAAATGCATAAGAGAGAGCAAATTTCAATGTAATTATATGTATATATATATAATATCACGAAAGCCAGCCGAAGGCCTGGGCTTGAGTATAGGTATAAGCGAAGCGAAGCGAAGCTAATCTAGGGGGTGTGGGGGGGGGGAGGCCCGAAATCGGTCCGTTTTTGAAAGGTGAGGCCGGAGCCTGGGGGGGGAGAGCTCAAAAACCGACCTGCCGTTTGCCTGGTTTTTTGGGCCCGAACGAGATGCTCCATTTTGGACACTTGTTGGTGGTTTTCGACGGTTTTCATCGGGTTTCAAACGCCAAAACACTGTAATTTACGGTGTTTTTGTGCGTTTGGCCTGGCAAAAGTACGTCTTGCAACATGCTGAAAACTGCGTAAATACCACTGTTTTTGCTAGGTTCTGGCCATAAAACACTGTAAATACCGTGGTTTTTGGTTCCAGGAGCAAAAAACACCGCAAATACCGTGGTTTTGGGCTTGCGAGGCGTCAAAAAAACACGGTTTTTACGGAGTTTTTTGCTCCGAGAATGTTCAAAAAACACGAAAACACCACCTATTTGACCATTTTTCGGCTTTACCTTGTTGGTGGTTCTTGACGGTTTTCATCGGGTTTCAAATGCCGAAACACTGTAATTTACGGTGTTTTTGTGCGTTTGGCCTGGCAAAAGTACGTCTTGCAACATGCTGAAAACTGCGTAAATACCACTGTTTTTGCTAGGTGCTGGCCATAAAACACTGTAAACACCTGGTTCCAGGAGCAAAAAAACACCGCAACTACCGTGGTTTTGGGCTTGCGAGGCGTCAAAAAACACGTTTTTTTTTTTTACGGAGTTTTTTGCTCCGAGACTGTTCAAAAAACACGAAAACACCAACTATTTGACCATTTTTCGGCTTTACAAATGAAGGTAAAAAAAAACATGCCGCAACGTCTCTGTGTGAAGATGTTTCTATGTAAAAGCGTCTCTGTGTAAAAGCGTTTCTCTGTAGATATATCTGTGTGTACAAGGGTCTGTGTGTACAAGCTTCTGTGTGTAAAAGGGTCTCTGTGTAAAAGCTTCTGTGTGTAAAAGCCTCTGTGTGTCAAAGCGTATGTATGTAAAAGTGTTTGTGTGTAAAAGCGTCTGTGTGTAAAAGGGTCTGTTTGCAACATTCTGTGTATGCGTAAAAGGGTCCGTGTGTAAAAAGGTTCGTGTTTAAAAGTGTCTGTGTGTAAAAAGGTCTGCGTGTAAAAGCATTTCTGTGTCAAGATGTTTGTGTGTCCAACAGTCTGTGTGCTACTACGACTCTGTGTAAAAGCCTTTCCGTGTAAAGATGTTTGTGTGTAAAAAGGTCTGTATGTAAAAGCCTCTGTGTGTGAAAGCGTATGTGTGTAAAAGTGTTTGTGTGTAAAAGCGTCTGTGTGTAAAAGGGTCTGTGTGCAACATTCTGTGTATGCGTAAAAGGGTCGGTGTGTAGAAAGGTTTCTGTTTAAACGTGTCTGTGTGTAAAAAGGTCTCTGTGTAAAAGCATTTCTGTGTCAAGATGTTTGTGTGTCAAAAGCGTCTGTGTGTAAAGCTGTCCCTGCGTACACGGGTCTGTGTGTAAAAGCGTCTGTGTGTACAAGCGTGTCTGTGTGAAGCTGTTTGTCTGTAAAAGCGTCTCTGTGTCAACGTGTTTCTGTGTAAAGCTATTGTAAAAGGGTCTGTGTGTAAAAGCATCTGTGTGTCGAAGTAAAAAAGTGTCTGTGTGTAAAAGTAAAAACGTTTGTGTGTAGTCTGCAAGGGTCTGTGTGTAAAAGGGTCTATGTGTTTTTAGCTTCACAATGCTGGTTCATAGCTTCTGTTTGCTTGCTGTTCGTTCTAAAATTGTATATGTAGCCGTTTCCCGTTCTTCCCAAAAGCGAAATGCAATAGCCGGCCGAATGGCCGCCAAATGGCAGAAAATTGCTTCCAACAGGTTTCTGCTCTGGATCTGGCTCCAAAAGGCTCCTGGCCAGGATTTGGCCTAAAACGGCCGTTTCCCCTTGATCCCAGAAGGCCCTTTTAGTTGCCGGCCCGCAAGCCGCGAAAGTCCCACAAGCTGGCTCCAAAAGGCTCCGGGCTTGCGAGGCGTCAGAAAACACGTTTTTTTTTTTCGGAGTTTTTTGCTCCGAGACTGCTCAAAAAACACGAAAACACCAACTATTTGACCATTTTTCGGCTTTCCAAATGAAGGTAAAAAAAACATGCCGCAACGTCTCTGTGTGAAGATGTTTCTATGTAAAAGCGTCTCTGTGTAAAAGCGTTTCTCTGTAGATATATCTGTGTGTACAAGGGTCTGTGTGTACAAGCTTCTGTGTGTAAAAGGGTCTCTGTGTAAAAGCTTCTGTGTGTAAAAGCCTCTGTGTGTCAAAGCGTATGTATGTAAAAGTGTTTGTGTGTAAAAGCGTCTGTGTGTAAAAGGGTCTGTTTGCAACATTCTGTGTATGCGTAAAAGGGTCGGTGTGTAAAAAGGTTCGTGTTTAAAAGTGTCTGTGTGTAAAAAGGTCTGCGTGTAAAAGCATTTCTGTGTCAAGATGTTTGTGTGTCCAACAGTCTGTGTGCTACTACGACTCTGTGTAAAAGCCTTTCGGTGTAAGGATGTTTGTGTGTAAAAAGGTCTGTATGTAAAAGCCTTTGTGTGTAAAAGCGTATGTGTGTAAAAGTGTTTGTGTGTAAAAGCGCCTGTGTGTAAAAGGGTCTGTGTGCAACATTTTGTGTATGCGTAAAAGGGTCGGTGTGTAAAAAGGTTTCTGTGTAAAAGTGTCTGTGTGTAAAAAGGTCTCTGTGTAAAAGCATTTCTGTGTCAAGATGTTTATGTGTCAAAAAGTGTCTGTGCGAAAAAAGCGTCTATGTCTCACGGCGTCTGTGTGTGCAAGGGTCTGTGTGTCAAAGGGTCTATGTGTAAAAGTGTCTGTGTGTAAAGCTGTCCCTGCGTACACGGGTCTGTGTGTAAAAGCGTCTGTGTGTACAAGCGTGTCTGTGTGAAGCTGTTTGTCTGTAAAAGCGTCTCTGTGTCAACGTGTTTCTGTGTAAAGCTATTGTAAAGGGGTCTGTGTGTAAAAGCATCTGTGTGTCGAAGTAAAAAAAGTGTCTGTGTGTAAAAGCGTTTGTGTGTAAAAACGTTTGTGTGTAGTCTGCAAGGGTCTGTGTGTAAAAGGGTCTATGTGTTTTTAGCTTCACAATGCTGGTTCATAGCTTCTGTTTGCTTGCTGTTCGTTCTAAAATTGTATATGTAGCCGTTTCCCGTTCTTCCCAAAAGCGAAATGCAATAGCCGGCCGAATGGCCGCCAAATGGCAGAAAATTGCTTCCAACAGGTTTCTGCTCTGGATCTGGCTCCAAAAGGCTCCTGGCCAGGATTTGGCCTAAAACGGCCGAGCTGGAGCTGATCTGGACGAAAGTATCGTGGAATGCTAACAACTAGCAACCGCCTTTACTTCGAGATACTTCAGCGCAGAGACCAAAAAAACGATGAGCATTGCTTTGGGGGCTGGCTTTCGTCCCCGCCCTTCTCAGGTGTGTGTATATGATTGTATATGTGATCAATGATTACAATGATTAATGTACATATTGATTGTATGTATATATATATATATGTGTGTGTGTATATTAATCAATATTAATCAATGATTTCAATGATAGGTTCATAGAATTGGATGATGGGAAAAATTACAGGAAAACCCTATATTTGATGGTAAAAACCATGGTTTCCTGTAGATTTTCCCTTAAACCAATCCAATGATAGGTGAGAATGGATTAGACCATGGATGACCATTGGAGACCTTGCAGGCTTCTGCCCTGAAGGACTGCGCAGCCTCCCGGGATTCCCGGGCCCGCCTTGGAAGCGCGATCCGCGGCGCCACCACAATGTTACGGTGTGTAGAAGTTAGCAACTAGTAAAAGCATATTAAACATAGATTGAAATTAATTTTCTATTATATGTTCTGAATTGTTCTGATATGTTTGTATGTCTTTATTATATGCTGTTATATCTTACTATATTATGTATTATTATGTTATCAAGGAAGAATCTGATAACCGCTTCTGAACTTGGGATCGCCACTGGTTGATCCTTGATGCACATGCCACGCTATCTGCCGATGTCTCACCGTAGGAGGGTACTGTGCCCTTGGCAACGCTCTTCGGGGGGTGCATCACCCTAGGGAAGAACTTGTTTCAGGCAGGAGAGGATCAGCGCTGACGACCGCGGGGAGCTGACGACCGCTGTTTCTTCAGGTCAGTAGAAGTGCCAAATTTATCCGAACACAGGATGCATCAGGCACTTCATGCAACATCGCTTTCATATGTCTTCATCTATGATACTGTAATCCAGTAATCCATCTCATATCCATCCATGATTTTTTTTTGACTTGTTGAGCCATGAGCCGCTTGGACTCAGAAGGGAAACCTTGCGAGTCCGAGTCCCCAGGCAGACCCAGATGGGACAGAATCTGCAGAGGCAGTGGGTCGAGACAGGAACTTGTTCGGGCAGGGTCTCAGCCCTTGGAACCGTTCAGGTCATGCAAGGTAACCAAGGTTGGCACTTCTTGAACTGAGGAAATTCTAGGAGTTGTTGTTGGGTTTCTTTTGTGGTGAACCCAATCAGTATCCCAAACCGGGGGTTACACATCACCTGGGCAGCTGGGTCAACCGTCACGCCCAGGCGTCTATCCGGTCCTTCGCTGATCAGACTGCTGGGATGCCAAGGCATTCCAGGTGAACTCAGTTGGGTGATTTGTTGGTACTTTCTTAGTGTAGCTGAAAGGAAGTCCGTTCTCCTACTGAAGTAAATACCTCCTTGAATGCTGGGTTAGTATTGGATCTAGTCATTGGATGCGTTTTTATATGGTTTTTGGGGGATGAAAATGATGAAACATATCTCTTATGAAACAGTCTCCTGTCCATTTCTCTTGGAGCACTCTGCCAACTTCTGTCCGACCTCTAGGGCATAAATAAAAAGTACATTCCTTATCATTCCTTCACCATCTACCTTCTATTCAGGATATGCAGACTATGTAGCAATTTAAAATATGTTACATCCCATTTTGAGGTTTCTCATTGCATCAAGGGCCGCATCCAGTCTCCAAATCGGCGAAATCGATTTTTTTTGCCCAAGCCTGCCACTCATTGTGCCACGCTGTCCGGGAGTCACTGAGGTGGTGAGCCAATTTTGTGAAGCTTTGTATTTCCAAGAAGCCAGCATGAAGAAATGATGTGCCACATGACAGGTGCTTAGTTGGTGCACCTGGAGAATCTTGGAGACTGAAGACCCATCTTTGGATCATTTGAGAAGTTGTAGTTGCTACACTAGCACTGCCGAAGGATTTATTGCTTCGAACGAAGCACCAATGGCACAAAGTCGACGTAGCAACTTTCGCAACTTTTTAAGTGCGCAGATCGCCATTGATCGGCCACCGGGCCGACGCAAACGATGGTTTGAGAAGAGGTCACTGCCTGAGGCTTCATAGGAAGCCCATGTTGGGTCTAGCGGTTCACCATCTCCCGCTTGCGCTGAATGGAAAGGGGAAGCATCACTGGGAATCAAATGGAATAAGTAGGCCGGATGTCCTATGATGTTCTATGATGTCCTATAAATAAAGGTAGATTAAGTATGATTAAGTCACATCATACAGCCCACAGACCTTGCAAGCACCGTAAAGTGTAGGGTGCCTGATATTTTTCAGGCTGAGCCTTCGCTTCTGCAATTTGTTCAGGTCGACGGACTTCCAAGAGAATTTGAGGGGGATTTCATGTGATGTCAACTCCTCCAATAGTCATAATATGATACTTAAATGGTATCCCCCCAATTAAACAGCCTAGGGGTTCATTAATCCAGGCTTGACATTCATGTAAAATCATGAATCATGACATTAAATGACATGATTCTAATTGGATGATGAAAGATGATGAAAGATCCACATAAGATCCACATAAACATGGATTTTCAACATGTGTTTCGGGACCGACATTCCTGAAAGCTTCTGCCTGCACTTTCCATCCCCATCCATCCGCCTGGGAGAGGATTTGAGAGAAGGGCGGTTTCAGGTCGTGGTTTTCACGGCCTCCGCGGCCATCTACGCTGACAAGGTGCTGGATTGGCTGGACCCAGGAGCATCCCCGTGATCTGTCGGATTCTCTCGCTAGTCAGCTAGTGCTACTTTCAAGGTCTTTAATTTCCATTAGTTTCCATTAGTTTCCATTAGTTTCCATTAGTTTCCATTAGTTTCCATTAGTTTCCATTAGTTTCCATTAGTTTCCATTAGTTTCCATTAGTTTCCATTAGTTTCCATTAGTTTCCATTAGTTTCCATTAGTTTCCATTAGTTTCCAGGACGGAGACTCATCTCCTACCGTCTTTATCGTGAGGCATGCGGATGGGATTCTAGAGCAGTCCACGTCTTGGGGCATCGCACGGCATGTCAGTAGGATCAGATCCTTAGGCACTTCAGCAATCTTCACCTGGTGTCCGAACTGACATGGACGTTGGATGCTGTTGGAACCTTTATGAACCTTTCATCTTCCTTGGGCAAAACCGTGTGCCGCGGATCGCTGTGAGGCATGCACAGAGCTTGCAGGTGGCCACTTCAAGGCGAGGGGCGATTAATTTTCCCACAGATGATCCCAACTCAACTGACGATTTTTCCAGAGGAAACGCCAACCATACTAAAGGTTCAGGAGTTAGCCGAAGTCACTAATTTATGGCAAAATATCAAAAGGCTAAGGTAAGTCCATTGTAGCCACCAAATTTGCTGACAACGGTTGACGATCATTGCAGCGCCGATGAATGTCAATGATGGACGCTGCAGAATTGGACGTATCTTCACGCTTCACATTCACATATTTGTCACATGTTTGTCACATATTTGTCACACGTTTTCACCAATTTTCAATCAATCAGTCAAGCAGCCAACATTTCTGAATCCAGGACCTACGACGTCTTGGACGATCGTTGGACGTGTGGATGCCCGTTGAGTGGTGTCGTGTGTCGACCAAACAAGAGTGGGCAAATACATAATATGTATACATATATAGGTTGATAGTGGTTAATATATGTGAATGTCACTAATCAGTTGTACAATTAATTTTATGATGTCATTTTTTTGCCATGTAGGTAAGTATAGGTAAGTCAATTGGATATTGTTGATGTAGTTCATATGTAGTTCATACAGTTGACATGAGTTGACATGCATGCTGATGTAGTAGAAGGATAGGCAACCTAGAGACCTACAGTTATATCATAATAATGTGGTAAACCATGGTAGACCCAATAATGGAGAACCACATATTTGGGATGGTTACCCACAAACGATGGTGATATGGCTTTCCTTCGGCGATGCCAGGATGTGGTTCTGGTGGACAACTCACCGTTGGCCCTGGGCCTGCGCCCGGAGAATGGGATGTTGGTGCCAGTCCTGAGCTTCGGCAATGTCGAATACCTGACTTGAACGAATGGACAAGATGAGACCTTCGATGATGTTGATGGGTGATCACCATGAATAATCACCATGAATCATCACCATGAATCATCACCATGAATCATCACCATGAATCATCACCATGAATCATCACCATATAATGATGTTAAAGTTCATGATCCAAACAGCCCATCATTTGGCCATTCTGAATGGGACTGGTGACCACTAATTTTTTTCTGCCAGATCAGCAGCTGGTACGGGGACGACGATCAGGTCGCAGGGGGATGGCAGCTGGCAGCTGGATCAACCACGACCGTAGTGCCAATGATTAGTGGTGATTAGTGATGATTCATAATGGTGTTACCCTCTGGTAAACTAACATAGCTATTGAAAATGGCCATTTATAGTGAGTTTTCCCATTAAAAATGGTGATTTCCCATAGTTATGTTAGTTTACCAGAGGGTAAATGGTGATTCACGATGATCAATATTGATGACAGATGGTTCATAGTGGTGATTATATAATGATTAATAATGGTGATTAATGGTGATTAAGGATGATTTTCATGAGTACTGTAGCCATGGTCAATCACCACAGCATTCAATCAATGTATATATACCCTTTGGCAATCAAACATGGCTTGCTGGAAACTGAAACCTCCATAGAAATTCTGGATGAATTGTCCTGACCTCATTGTGACGTCATTGGAATGATGACCAAAAATCGAATAAACTAAATACTTTCACGTTGGTGAATTATTGCAATTCAGCCAGAATCAATGTAGTAATCTAGGCAGATCTAGGTGTATTTAGCATTGGTCTATTGGTGCACATTTACATGCAACAACCAGCGGCGTGGGGATTCACAGTGTCCAAGCCACATCCTCGCGGTTTCTGGTCAGCTCTGGGGCGTGGCCACTACCACCTCTGCTCAAACCAGGCTGCTAGGATCCATCAAGAACTTCTTGGATGTTTTATGGGGCACGGGTTTGTCACAGCAACTGACCAAGTCAAATAAGAATCGGAAACATGGTAAGAATGACAATAATAATCTATCACATTCTATAATCATTATATAATTATATAATAATATAGCCTATATATAGCTATAATAACAATCCAAATTATAATCATCATATATCACCCATGGCCCCCTGGCAAGTCAACATAGCATAGCTATGGAAAGTCATCAGTACAGATGCCCTGCTACCGGTGGATCATTGTAAATCATATCAATGGGCAATTTTTCCACAGCTCTGAAAATGGTAGACCCCCAATTATAGCCATTTAAAGGGGATCATGATCACTAACCATTGGGTTTAGGGGTGCACTATTTTCAGATTCTTCAGACAAACCCATAAAAATCAATGCCTTTTTGCAACACTTAGTCAGCTATGGCACGTTTGCATTGGCTGGATGACCTTGGAAAGTTCCTGGAACCCGAGGCTGCAACTGGATAGCTGAATTGCCCTTTGGTAATTCAACAAAGCTATGGAAGATGGCCATGTTTAGTGGGCAGATCATCTAAATTACCAGAAGGTGGGCGCATTTATCCCCAACATATGTTCATTTTCCGGGGGAACTTGCTTTTGTTCACCACAAACTTATTGGAGTTTTGGGGTGGCTCATTTTTGGACAAAGCCATGCAAAATCACAGTTTGATGGTACATAAATATGAATGTTCCAGGTTTATGTAAGTTGGGGTGTTCAGAGGAATCAGGATCTGGTGAGTCGGAGGGATGTGAAAAATTGATTGTTCTGTGTCATCAGGCACACACAAAACAGCCGTACATATTCCTTCCATTTTTGATTGCTTAAACCCCCATGAAATCTACTAGGTAATGGAGAATGATGCATAAAATGATAGACAATCGGATTTATCGGCAACCCCCGCTTGTTGGGTACCCATGGGTACCCATGGATACCCTTCTTTCTCCAGTGCTTATTCATCACCTGTCCATTTCAGATACGTTTGAGCACTGTTCAAAACCTTTGTTGATGTGGGGTCATACTATCCAATATGTTAGGGATGATTGCCATCCATGGGCTAAGTGACTTAAACCAAAAATCATCAAACCCATCACTCTCCAGTCAGCAGGAAATCCAGTCTAATCAATCACATTTTATCAGTCTAATCAATCACATTTTATCATATCATATCAATGATTAATGATCAACACGTTGGCGAAGTGTCAACCGGAAATCTCACCAGCCAGTTGGATCCAGATCTCCAGGCCTTCATCGATGAGTTGACCCAGCAGAGCTTCGCCGTGGTCGCTGCCCCAGCGCGTTTGGCGTCCCCCGTGGCCGCCGTCTTTGCAGCGCCTCAGGGGTTGCTGGGGCACAGCGGTGCCAATGGGCCCTTGGTGTGGAGCTTTAAAAGGCAAGGGGAGTTGAAGGAGTCCTGGGCTGCAACCTTTGTTGGTTGATGATGATATGGGAAAATCCATGAAAATCCTATCCAATCTTATGATGATCATGATGGGAAATCCCATTGTTAACATGTTTTTCTAGTTTTGATGTGGGATACTTACTCGAAACATCCACCTATTTAAATCTATTTGATAGAGATCTTGAGACATCATTTTCTTTTTGCGTTTTGGATGTGACATAAGACATCCGAGGTTTTAGTCGGGCATGCAGAAGTTTTGATGGGAGATCCATGTTTGAGTTGGAAATACCAAGATTCCACAATTTTGGATGGGAGGCCCTCCCATCACCTATGCGATCTATGAATGATGTGACTGTGAGGGACTTCCCCAGCGGTCATCCAGCGGCAATGTGGTAAACGATGGAGTAAACCATGGGGTACACCAATTGAGCCGTAGAAAACCACACCGAATGACCATTTGGGGTGATTATCAATGGACAATGTGCATTTCTTCTTGGCTTTGCCGCTTTGCCACATTGGATCTGCAAGATTTCTGGGTGAGGGCAGAGGGCCGGGAGTGTGACACACCTCAGGAGCGGAGTCAGGTCCGGAGAGTGAGCTGTGAAGCAGGAGATCCCGAGGATTTGTTGTGGGCCTCCTTCGAAGTCATGGTGCCGAGGCTGAACTTCAGCTTGCATCTTTTTCCTGCCGGTGTGCAAGACATCCACCCCACAAGACAATAGAAGATCGACATAAAACAATAGAAAATAATGGAAATGCAACAGGATCACCTGTTCGGGTGAGCCACCTGGTATCACCCCAGCATCCCTCAGTTCTATGTTATCATCGAAAGGTTGACCACTTGATGCTGGTCAAGGTTAATCCCTCTTGCTTGTCTCTTTGAATATAGATTCAACACTCTAAGATGTGGGTCAATGTCAGTTCGAGAGGCCTATACCTATAATTCTGGGGGTTGAAATCCCGTTATGCTATCTTTATTTTACCAACTTCGAAATGTCTAGTTGTCTTGCTTTTCCACCCTTCATCTTGTTTTTCTATCAAGGAATGCTCCCGCCGTTCCCAATATTGGTCTTCGGTTTCCGGAAAAAAAAACAGAAAAAAGTTAAACCACATGGCACTCCAAGTCCATTTATTCCATTTATTCCAGGACATCCCTGGACCCCCCCCGGTGCTCCGGTCGCGGATGGCAGGAGCAGCTGGCGGCCGAAGCCATGGACGCCTGGTGCGCTCGCTTAGAGGTGCCCTCTGAAGCGGCGCGGCGGAGCTTTGGAGATCTCTCCTTCGCTGCGGAAGAGGCAGTGGACCTGTACATTTTGGCCACAGGTGAAATGGGTATGGATCAATACCTATTAATACCATTTTTAGTGGGATGAACATCCATTTACCAGCTATTTTGATGTTCACCAGGGGTACAAGGTTTTGACTGCCAAATAAGGGCACTTAGTATCCACAATTGGCACTTAGTGGTTAAGAAACCTGGTGATTAAGTGATTAAGCCCCGCCTAACTAGGGCTGTTCCATGCAGAAGGTGCTGAAGTGGCTGAAGTGGCTGAAGTAACGCCACTTAGTGTAGTGGAATGATCCTCCAAATGGATACCCTCAAGTACAAGGGTTCTAGAATGAGTGACCCCCAGGGGTCTGGGCACCCAGGGTCTAGAATGGGTTGATCCCAGTACTATAGAACCTTCTGACCTCCCATTATAGAACTTTCAACTTGTTTAGAAAATCCCTTGACGTAAGGGTTCTATAATGATGCTAGCCTGCTAGATGACTGAGGTCTAAAATCATATCTTGTGAAGGGGTCCTTCAATTGTTGAAATACATGTGGGCTAGTTCTGGAGTGTGGATTCAGGGAAGCCCAACCTGGTTTGCCTTAGTTTATCACAGTTATGAACAATTCTACATCCTGTATGATCCAAATAATTTTGCCTTATGATTTTCCTGGGGTCTAAAATAATGTCACTCAACGTCTTGGGGTGATCACCAACATCAGAGGATGGTGGATATGATTTTAGAACCTGGGGTGTGGATTCAGGGAAGCCCAACCTGGTTTGCCTTAGTTTATCACAGTTATGAACAATTCTACATCCTGTATGATCCAAATAATTTTGCCTTATGATTTTCCTGGGGTCTAAAATCATGTCACTCAATGTCTTGGGGTGATCACCAACATCAGAAGATGGTGGATATGATTTTAGAACCTGGAGTGTGGATTCAGGGAAGCCCAACCTGGTTTGCCTTAGTTTATCACAGTTATGAACAATTCTACATCCTGTATGATCCAAATAATTTTGCCTTATGATTTTCCTGGGGTCTAAAATAATGTCACTCAATGTCTTGGGGTGATCACCAACATCAGAGGATGGTGGATATGATTTTAGAACCTGGGGTGTGGATTCAGGGAAGCCCAACCTGGTTTGCCTTAGTTTATCACAGTTATGAACAATTCTACATCCTGTATGATCCAAATAATTTTGCCTTATGATTTTCCTGGGGTCTAAAATCATGTCACTCAATGTCTTGGGGTGATCACCAACATCAGAGGATGGTGGATATGATTTTAGAACCTGGAGTGTGGATTCAGGGAAGCCCAACCTGGTTTGCCTTAGTTTATCACAGTTATGAACAATTCTACATCCTGTATGATCCAAATAATTTTGCCTTATGATTTTCCTGGGGTCTAAAATAATGTCACTCAATGTCTTGGGGTGATCACCAACATCAGAGGATGGTGGATATGATTTTAGAACCTGGGGTGTGGATTCAGGGAAGCCCAACCTGGTTTGCCTTAGTTTATCACAGTTATGAACAATTCTACATCCTGTATGATCCAAATAATTTTGCCTTATGATTTTCCCGGGGTCTAAAATCATGTCACTCAATGTCTTGGGGTGATCACCAACATCAGAGGATGGTGGATATGATTTTAGAACCTGGAGTGTGGATTCAGGGAAGCCCAACCTGGTTTGCCTTAGTTTATCACAGTTATGAACAATTCTACATCCTGTATGATGCCAATAGTTTTGCCTTATGATTTTCCTGGGGTCTAAAATCATGTCACTCAATGTCTTGGGGTGGTCGCCAACATCAGAGGATGGTGGATATGATTTTAGAACCTGGGGTGTGGATTCAGGGAAGCCCAACCTGGTTTGCCTTAGTTTATCACAGTTATGAACAATTCTACATCCTGTATGATCCAAATAACTTTGCCTTATGATTTTCCTGGGGTCTAAAATCATGTCACTCAATGTCTTGGGGTGATCACCAACATCAGAGGATGGCGGATATGATTTTAGAACCTGGAGTGTGGATTCAGGGAAGCCCAATCTGTGTCGAATGCTGGAATAGACATCGTGTCTATATATTTTTGCTTTGTGATGTAATGATCGGTGTCATCTAACATTGCCATTGGGTTGAAGCAAATAGTTTCATTGAAATCAATGATCCAACACATCCAACAGCATGGTTTCCAAGCAGAGGTTCTAGAATGCATTACCATACTAGGCCACCAGGTTCTAGAATCATGTCCTCCGTTCCTCTCTGATTTAAGGTACCAAAAGTGGATATGATTCCAGACCCCTTCCCCATACCTGAATTTTTGGTCTAGAATGGGTATTTCTATTTTCAGGGAAACGCACAGAGGATAGGATTTTAGATACCACACTGGGGTTCTAGAGTACTATCCTTGAGGTCCCTAGCTTGTAGTTGAGGGTATCCAAATGGTGGTTTATAACTGAGGTATAATATGATTATACACTGGGGATCTTCCACTTAGATGAAGTATTAACTAAGTGATACATACTGGATAGATAGGATAGCCCACTTATAGAAAGCCCTTTATCGAACTGGGGATCTCCCGCTGGGGTATTTATTATAATGTTATATATCCATTTACAAATGGAACTGCGCTCCAAAGTTGGAAGTGAAAGTTGTAAATATTTATGACTGCGCTAAGTGACTATGGGTTTACGACACTTATGAGTTGTTTTAGTTTGTAATTGGGGTACCTTCACTATGATCAAAGGAATATCTTTATGAGTTGCTTTTAACACGTGTAATGTGTGGCCAATCCTACTGGGTGTTAAAACAAGGGCATGTTTGAAACTGTTCACCCCGGCTGCTGGGAAAAGACTTGGAAGGTGATCTCAATTCAATCAACTTCGGATTTGGAAACCTTGGCTCATTCATCAAATTCGATTTTAGCACACCAAAAGAAGATAGAGAAGTTTAAAAGCAACTGGGAAACTATGAGGACAACATCATCTATATCCTCCCAGAAATACATGTCTACTGATGTCTACTGTATCATTTTTTTGGCTTACCATTACGAGCGCAACCAGCGAGGCAACGCACCAGGAGCTTGGCAAAGGCAAATCTGTGGCTTGGTGCCGCAGATGGTTGTTTTCTTTATTAATGAGGGAGCTGAAGCAATTACAGACACACAATCACACATACACACACATGTAAATAATTAAGATGTTTGATTAATGTTACGCACCCAAGATTGTCAGCCAAACATGAACACCGCTGAACACCTTTATTGGCATCAGGTCTTCATTTTCCCGCTCTGCGCAGCCCGTCGCAGCTCGCTTGGTGAGGTGCTCAACCTCTACCACTACTTCAACTCGCCCACTTGTGACGAGGAGCCCTGCCGTTCCCATGCGGATCCGGGTCTCCTCACGGTGCTGGGCCGCTCCACAAAGGCTGGGCTGCAGGCCGTGCGGCCGCTGACGCCTGGGAAGGCGCCGGGACGGCCTGCCAGCTACGGGGAGGAGTGGCTGGATCTGGAACTGCTGATGGATGACCTGGGACGAGGTTCAGCCGCTGGGCAGCGGGGTGAAATAAAATCAGGGCTTGACATTGATGATTGTGAAATTGTGAATGAAATTAGTTGATTGATCTGAACTCATTGAGTTTGAAGACGGCAATGGAATATCTACATATATCCCCATGTTCAATGGAGGAGCTGTTGCTGAATGTGTTTTGGGGGGAAGGGGGGTGGGGCGGCTCCAGCGTCTCGGAAGGTTCATGATGTTCATGGAACTAAGAACAAGGTCTAGCAGAGGTATAGAAGATGATTTTCCATGACTTTCCATGATTTTCCTATTGGATCATGTTTGGGTTTTATATGGTTTTATATGGGTTTTATGTCAAATTCACTTGTTTCAAACAGTGCCGACTTCACTGAATTCTGATGAATTCTGCTGATTTGATTTGATGATGGTCTTTTTGGGATCCTTTTTTGGGAGCCATTGGGGCCATCAAAATCGGCAGGACAGGCGCCCCACGTGCCCTTTCTGGTCCTGGTGGGCGAAACCATGGAGCGTCTCAGTGGTGGATGGCATCCCAGTTGTGTGCACCGCGTGAAGCGAAGTGAGGCCTCGTCGTGATTTTTGGGGCATGAAACAGAGGGGTGGGATATGGTGGGATGATGAGAATTGTTTTTGTTGATGGTTTCAAACATGTTTCTTTATGTTCAACCATTGGTAACCATGTCTTGCATGATGATCCCTCAAATGTCTGCTGTTTCATCTATTTTCAGGGGGTTGAAACCACCAAGCAGTGAATGATTAAGTGATATATATATATATATGTATTTGGATGTATGGGCTGGAACCTGCATAACCTGATAACCTTGAGAATGGGTTGTTTGCATTGATTGGCGGCTAAGTAGGTGATAAAGACGCATTGGCCCCTTTGGCAGAAGTTGCAACTTTGGTTTCATTTTTTTTGATACATGTTATGTATTGTATTGTATTGTTACGGAGGAATCATGTGGTAACATGTGCTCAATATATCTCGCTCATCGTTTTTGAAGCCTTGCCTTTTTCCAAGAGCATGTCATGGCAGGGGGTTTTTCTCGGGATCCTTGGCGCCCAGGAGCCCGGAGAAAGGCGCTTCAATATGGCCTTTGAGCTGCGACCCAGGTGCAACGTGTGGCATCCCTGGCGAAAAATGCTGGATGCGGTGGAGACGGCGCCTGAGACGGAGCCATAGCTGTGCCAAGGGGCCCAAGACCCGGGAGATCCCGGGAGCTACGGAGCTGCTGAGCTAAGTTGCTTCATTTGAAAGTCATTTATTGTTCGATAAATGTTCGATATTGTGATTTAGTTTTTGCTTTGTGACATTATGTGACTTGTTGCTTCTATTTAGGCAAGTAATTAATATATTTTCTTCTTGCAGGGTGAAGGTGATATAGGATGATGGTGCGGCAACTCATGGAGGAATCCAGTCATTGTAGCCATGTCTTGGTGCAACGCTCCCTTGAGCTCTTGAAAAGGCCCTCCCGCGGATCAAGTGTACAGTGACCATGGCGATGAAAAATTCAGCGCCCGAATGCATGTGACTGATCTGAAGCCTATTTAAGTTAGGTGCTGATTCATGAGATTTTGGCTGCTTGGGTTGCAAACGGCTGTTGCTGGGAATATCATGGAATATCTGGGAATGAGAAACGTCACCCAATCATGCCGAATCATTCTCCGTGGCTCAAGCCGCGTCCATTGGGATGGCATTGAAAACAAGGCGCGCTGATCGCAGGACCGCGCCATGAAGGTGCTCCGGCATGTCGGCGGCGCAGCATGTGAAGCATCGACGACCCCCAATCTGCAACGGAGTCAGATAGCAAATCAGAGGGACGCGCCCAAGATTCTGCTGGATTTGCTACCACGGAAACACTTCGGCCAGAGCGGAAAGACTTCAACAGTTGAAACTTGAACAACGAGAATCCATGGCAAAGTACTTGGTCTATGCCCAGAGCCTTGCAAGTTTTGAAGAGCAACCTCGCCAGCAGATCTGGCAGCAGCTTTACCAGCTGGGAGTACCGTGGTGCTGCCATGTTGCTGAGCACCTATCCTCCGCCATGTGTGCAGACATCACGTCCGCAGCCTCTTGGGCCTTGGGTCTGGGAGTCAGGCATAGAGAGGCCGCGGTGACATTCGTGGTGAAGCAGCTGCCGACGTACTACACCCAGGAGATGTTCGTGTCCGAATTGGTTGAGAGTGGCTTCAAGGGCCAGTTTGACCTCCTCTACATCCCTTGCCACCCAGAACAAGGCTGCAATATTGGGTATGCAATTGTGAATTTCACTCAGCCAGAGTATGCCGAGCAATTCCGCGCATCATTTCCACACAAATCCTTGGATGAGCAGACGAGAATGACTGGGGAAGGCTTGGTAGTTGAGCCAGCCCCCACACAAGGCTCTGAGGCCAACTGCTACCATTTCGCTCTGAAATGGTCTGGCAGCCCACCATTGGGTCGACCGCAGTTGTGCCCGTTGCAGCCTTCGGCCACTTTCAATGACCTGCATGGACCCGGTGACCTACGCGACCAACGCGCTGTTTTCAATGTTTTCAAAATGCCAGTGAGCAGTAGTGAGCCACATGCGGCAAGAGCCGTGTTTCAAGAAGCGAATCTTTTTCGGCTTACCCTCTGGTAATTTAACATAGCTATTGAACATGGCCATTTATAGTGGATTTTCCCATTAAAAATTGTGATGTTCCATTGCTATGTTAGTTTACCAGAGGGTAGCAGGGATTCGATTCCAAGTTTTTGTTGGGCCTTTTGTGGCTCCAGACATCTCCAGACAAAAGGAGTGGTTTGGACCAGCCATGTCACGAATCGCTCCTAAGGAGCTCCTGTTTTCAACCTGAAACAAAGATCCGATCGCCGATCACTTGAGTGACTATATATATCTATATATATATAATTATATTATATTTATTATATTTTATTAAGGGGGAGTCATCCTATTAGCCCCACATCCGAGATCATCATCCACCATCCCCATCCACGCGGGAGCCAGGATCAAGAGCTCACAATTCTGATGGGAATGTTTGCGAAGGTGCGGCTTCTTGGGAAGGTTTAGCACTCGCCCTTGTTGCAGCATGCTGCGGCCCCACAGGTTTCGAGATTTGTGCGATGCAAGACATCACCTTTTTATGGCCAAACCGGTTAATCCCCCAAGTACAGAGGAACTATGAGGACCTGGTTTGTTTGCGCTAAACTTGGAATACCTGAGCATCAGTGGAGCAAGTCCAGCGCAGATGGCCCGGCTTACCCATGCGAGGGATCCCCATGCAAATGATAAAAACTGGTCATAATTGATGGAATAGGGGAAGAAAGGCTGCTAAAAGTTGGGCCATAAAGTCGAGTTGAAATGATCTGAAATGGTCTAACTTCATTGGTGGAAAGCTTGGCTCTACAAGCCGCGTTTGGCTCGCAACGTGAAACGCGTTGCCCACGTGGAAAGGTGTGGTTTCCCAAGGTGATTGGGTGGTGGGGAGGGGGAGCGAGTCATGCAGATCCTCCATTGTTGATGGTCCGTTGATTATGTTATTCATTTATGGGTTACTCATTCCATAAATGGGGGTACCCCAATAGCTGGATGGTTTATTTGCTGGAAAATCCTAAAACGGATGATTTCCTCCATATCAACCATGCACATCCATGCAGCAAAGCAGCAATGCAGCAATGCCTGGCAATGCCTGCTCATTCTTTTTCGCACGATTTTGCAATGATACCCTCTGGTAATTTAACGTAGCTGTTGGAAATGGCCATTTATAGTTGATTTACCCATTAAAAATTGTGATTTTCCATAGCTATGTTAGTTTACCAGAGAGTAATCCACTGGTCAATTTGCAAGATGGCTTCGAGATGGCTCTGGCCGGTCTTCAACGTCCATGGCCCAATGGCTCTGTTGTAGTCGGCTGCTGGCGGAAGATCCCAGTGATCATTATCCATGTGAATCCTGATGAAATCTTACAGCCACAGGCAGAATATCCGTGGATCCTGGGTAGCCATGGATATATATATATATATATGTATACCATGATACATCATGAATTGCACACAATTATGCCACTTCAGTCAATTTTAGCATTTGAAAGAATTATAATTTCAAGCCTCAACCGCCTTAACCAGAACCCCAGCCCCAAAAAAGGCAAATTAAAGTGTACTGTAGTGGAGTTTGCAACATTAACAAACATCTGGATATTCCGGATGATCCATATGCCAAACAGCCCTGTTTTTCGTCCCTGCTGAGAGGCGTGCCTGGCTGCGCGCTGGCACGGTGCCATGGCCTTGTGCCTTTGCAGCAGCTCAGCCGATGAAGGGATGGCCAGGGGATGCCGGGTGCATTGTTGCCAGACCCGAAGAAAAGCCATGTTTCGGAAAAGCTACCCAGCAGCTACCCAGCAGGCAACGGCGATGGCGAAGATGGCTCATCTTCATTTGTGCGCTGATAGTTCTGCCTGGGACCCTGTGGTTCTTGGGTCTTTTGCTGCTATCTTTTGTTGATGTATTTTGATGGCAGGACGTCCCGTCACACCGCCACATTGCACCACTGAGGCTCTGGCGAGACGCGGGACCCCAGGCCTTGGGCTGCAGCGGGTCAACACTGGGATAGCTCCCAAAAATCTCAGGTACTATACTGAGATCACAGATTCCGTTAGATCAATTCAGCCACCTGATGAACACAATGATGACTTGGGTACCCAAGGTGAGGAAACCACCTGATGGTCTGCATCGTGGAAACTGAGATGTAGGAAGATGAACACAGCCCACTCTTGTTGCTGAAGGGCCCCTCACCTCACAGTTTATGGCGTCAGGTGTCGGTCGACCCCAGCAGGTGCTGGTGGGATGCTGCGCCGGCTGAATCCCATCAAGTGTCCGGACGAATTACCTCATAATGGAACGGGTCTAAACGAGTGACTAAGCCCAACATCCCCCAACCCAACTCCTAGTTCCACATAGTTTCACCAGCTGCAGATATACAGTAAGTGACTCAAGTGATCAAAAGCCCAGGGCCCAGTGGGCCCAGGGTTAACACTGAGATAACTGGGGTCATGGCTTTTCAGGACGGTCGCTTTTGCCTTCGGCAAAGCTCGATCCGAGGCACTTGGCTGATGACACTGGGGCATTGATATCCAGCGGAAATTTTCTAGGGATTCTTAGTGGGGGATATGGGACTGCTTGGGGGATGGGTTCTTCAACAATGCGATTTGAGCGTTTTTCCCGATATGTCAGCTAGCCAATGAAGCAATACAGCCAACTAACCCATCAACCATTCAATTAAGACAAGCAAAGATTCTCCAAGAATTTTTTAACCAATGGGTCATCAACCGACCATAACCGACCTTAGGAAGCCTTGCTTCCTGATCTTTGGAGGAGCTGGGTAGCGAAGATGATGACCTGCCCATCAAGACAGGGTGCGGGCCCCGGATCGTCCCCTGAAGCCGCTGAAGCCGCTGAAGCCGGCCCCCCAAAGGTGACGCGCCCCAATACCAGCGATTACTAAGGTCTTCTTAGCCAGGTCTTCTTAGCCCCCATCAGCCACTAATACGGGAAGATAAAACTATCTTACTTGCCGGGATTGTTGAAATATGTTGAAATCCCATGAGACAATCGGGCATCGGGCATAGCGACGTCTGGTAATTTCTCGGCAAAAAAGAACATGATGTTGTGCACCTAGGGCATTGTTGGGCTGCTCAAGTCTCCGAGAATGATGATGGATATGATGGGATTCTGCATGAGGAAACGGCATGAAGCAGCAGTCATGGCACGGGCATCCAAGGCCCCTTGGTTGGTTGCACTATGCGCTGACCTCGGATCTTTATATTCTGTTGCAAGGGTTCCGAAGCAAATCTCAGCTGGGTTCAGTTTCTGGCAGACTTTTTTGTTTTTTTTGAACGACCCGGCAACAATCATCAGAATTCATCAGGCTATTCACCACCCGCTTTGCTGCTATTCGGAAGCCATGGAAGCCATTTGAGTGTTCAACAGATACCCGCTATTTTGCAAAACTCAGCGTCTCGGCATTCTCTCCGGCATGTCGTTTGTACGCGTCATCGTTCTCCTTTCTCTGACCTATGCTGATGCAGTACGTCCCATGGCAGCTGAGACCGACGTGGACCTTGGAAACCAGTCCTATCCAGACTGCCTCGGGAACCTTGGCAAGTGCTGCACGGTGAAATGCAATGGAAAGCACAAGTGGGTCGGAAAGACGGTCTTGACCTTTTCCGATTGCCAACGGCAGCCGGGTGCGTTCATCAACCCACATACAAAAAAACCCATGCGCAGCTCGCTGGCAAACTAGATTTGGAGGTTTTACCCTATTTACGTTGCCGATTTGATCCGATGTGCCAATACACACACACATATATTTATATACACACATATAACCCTCCTTGGAGTAAACCCTATATAATAGAGGACTTGGGGGTACGACTCTATGGGCAAGTTGGTAGGCCAGGTTTTCCTATAGAATAGTCCCTATCCTGTGCCCAGCTGGTTTGGAAAAAAAAACGTATCCAAAAGTGAAACCAAACTTAGGGCCTTGCAGGCCCAGTTTTCTATTCTGTAGGCAGTCTTTTTCCTGATCACCGGGACTCAGTTTTTCATTCTATAGTGGATAATTTGTTAGAAGCCGTGGCCATTGTGAGGCTGGGTTTTCATTTTAAAGGAGTGTCAGGGGGCTGTTAACTTGGCAGGGTTTGCATTTTATAGAGAAAACCCCGCCCTCTTCTACTCGAGTTTTCGATTTAGTCCCTATAGACCTGAACCCCCAGGTTTGGTTCGAATTCCAACAGGGATCATACACACACATAAAACACATATACTGTACGTATGTATGTAGTGCAATGTAATGTGATGTGATGTGATGTGATGAAATGTAAGTATGTAATATTATGTTATCCAATGCAATGCAATGCAATGTAATGCAATGCAATGCAATGCAATGTAATGTATGTATGTATGATATTAGTATAGGGCGTTTGCGATGTTTATATTTAGACTGGTACATGTATAGCATATGCACCTTTTTTTTTTTAATTTCAGTACAAAATCATCATCCAAAAGACCAAGACCATGTTTCATGCCCAGTGAGAGAGATGTGGATGTGCTATGACTGCTATGATGTGCTCTTGTGTTTGGCGAGGTTTTGGAACGTAGAGCCATGTGCGTGTCACCGTGTCACCCCATGTTGTCCGACATTGCTTAGTCTTCTTCCCATTGTGCTACCATGGCAGGTGGAAAATCATGTAAAAGAAGCTAGATCTTCTTCAACCCCAAGACGTCCAATGATAGAATTAGAATATATATTATTTTCGTAAGCCGGGAGGTGGCCTTTCTTTTGTTTGGATGATTTGGACGCAGCATCCGCTTTTTGTTTCCCCGTTGCCATCCGCCTGAGGCCCGGGCAGCATGATGTTGAGCCACGGCGATCTTCCCACGACGTATGGTGACTACGTTTGTCAGGAAATTTGCAAGAGCAGCGGCTATGGACCTGACAACCAGGCCGTCAAAGTCTATCGTGCCGGTGGTGATCCAAACGAACCTCCATTTTGCGGAATCCCCATGGGTGGCATAGCTGGTCGTTGATCCAGACCTGCCTGCGACCTGCCTGCCAGCACTGATGAGAAAAAAAGTGGCAGAAAGTTGATCGAATCGACGTGAATAAAACATGCAAGACATGGCAAGAAATGGATACAAATGGCTGAATGTCACCAACTTGTGAATGAAGATCTAAGATGGATGATAGCGGCAAAGGTAGCACTTGGTTGTGGATCTCCAGTTGGGATGTCGCCAAGGATGTCATTTTGGCCTCCAGAACCTCGTACCCTGTAGCCCTGATGGTCTGAGGCTCAGGTATATCCCAGATAGATAAGACCGCCCATTGGATGGTCATATGATATATATGATGTCATATAGATAGATCGATCGATAGATAGATAGATAGACAGACACACACACACACAAATAGATAGACAAATAGATATTGACAAGTGACACCAATTGACCCACCAAAAATGAACATGTAGGTGTGTCTGAAAACCAGTGGCGATGGGGGATGCTTGGATCATTTATGTTTATGGCTGGAATTCTGGACGGTGGAGCATGATAGAGATCCATCACGTTGGGATGTGGTTTCTGGCCGCTTTGAAAAACCCTTCCATGCTAAGCGCATTTCCCAATTTCTAGCGGTGTGAGCTGAGATTGGCTTCACCTGCTATGGAAATGTTCTGCTGCGTTTGGGGGCCCAAGCACAGGCAAGGTGAGTGACACACTGTACCTAATGAACACATGACGGATCAGGATGGATCGTGCGTGCCACCTGAGGTAAAGAGAGCGGAGACAAGCCACAGAACTCAGAGCTCAAAAGGAGATGGCGACTGGTGGGCCAATAAGACCAACACGGGGTTTACAAACGGTCAGCATGGGGTATAGAACCAGCATGAGCCAGCAACACGTCTTACTAAATTACTAATTACATCATATTACATCTAATTACTATAGAATATTGCGGTGGATGGTGGATCGCCTCGGGTGTGTCAAACAATGCCAAACATATTCTTGATGGTGCTGGGTAGGATTTAAGACCGACCCAACACATTCCCGAACCGGTTCTTCTAACTGTAATTGCTAAGGTCTTATCCAAACATTGGGGATTACCCCCCACAACAGCAAGACTTTGGAGTTTCCAGCGGACTTGATTCACTTGATGCCCTGGACTGAGGCAATACCCTTCGTGGATCTTTGGATGGCTACTAGGAATGGTTTGCTACACCTATCCAGGTGGGCTGATGACCGTGGATGACTGGTTGCAAGTGAATTTCATTGCTATGAAAATCATGACTTTGATCGATTTTCCCAGCTACCTGGGACCAAGATCTTTTTTTTGGTCATTTGACTTGAATGATTTTCAATGTATCCTGGAGGGAGGAACGGTTTCCCCATTGCATGATGGTGGTCCACATCCAGCGTCCGCGATGTCCAGCGCCAGGTGCCATTTTTTCGGACTTGATGTTTGTGTCAAATGCTCCACAGCAGGCTGCTCAGACTGCGTCGCCGTCGCCCATAGGGCCATAGGGAAGGTGGCAAACGCCTCTGCAGGGGGAGTTTGACAATTATCAGCTTGGTTCAGGTATGGGGTGATTTTATGTAATTATGAGGCGAATGAAGTGTTGAACCAGCGAGCTTGGTGTTTTTTCCATGTCTTCCAACAGTTTCAGACAGTTTTACAATTAAAAAAACCCTGTGGACATGTCCCACCAAGGCGGGCCCTATCCAATAACAACATCCTCTGCTGTTTCAGCTTCTGGTATTTGGTGGTGCAAAACTCCGATGCTGCATGGGGCTCAGAGCTGCTCACCGCTCTGATGCGGCGTGACATTGAAAGAATTCGCAGATCCTCATGAGTTCAAGAGGTGGAGATGAATGGTGCAAATTTCTGCCATTTTGGGAGAGATGAGTGGGGTTTTTGTATGATGAAAGTGGCGTGAGGAGTTCACGAACCTCTCGGGGGGCTTGCCCTTGATGCCCTGGCCTGCCAAGGCCTACAAATTCTTGCAGCAGAAACACGTTGGGAGCACCCGGCAACAGAGATCGATAGTGCAAATCTACATAAATCTACTATCAATATCCGTCAATATCTGTCAATAATATACAGATGCAATGCAACCCATATGATTTATTATGATTTATTGTGGTTTATTATGATTTACTATGATCTATTAAATTATGATTTATTAGTAGCTAGCACTATAGATGAGCGCGTGCAATGTCCACGGGTTCCTCACAAGAAACGCAGATGAAGATCGTGATAGATTTGGCTGAAAAGAGTGTCCTCGTATCCCCAAAATATCATGATCATTATTTGTCCATCAACAAGTGGCATGGAAAAAAAATCAACAAGTGAGAAAATTCGGGGGTTATTCTTCATTGGTCATCCTTTTTTGTGGATTCGTTAAACTAACACTAGATGTGGAGAAGCCACGGTTTCCCTAAGAAGGTCATCTACAAATGCTATGATTTCCTGATGTTTCTGTATACAGGGTACGGGTACATTGTTACATTACCTGAGTTACCTGGTAGCATGAGGATTACTTCTGTATACATGGGGATTCTCAAAAAAATGTGGGGTGTTTTCCGTTTTCCCCAGGTGTTTCAGCCATGTTTCTGGTGTTTATCCCAACGCATTTGCCGCCAGGTCTTTGTTTGGCTCACCACCTGGTGGTTAGCAGATGCCACCCGAGCGTCGCTTCTCTTTTTGGAGCGTGCAGTGGCGGAGCAGCCAGTGTCGGGGACGCCAGGGTTGATGGCTGTGAGAAGCTATAGGATATGTGCAGTGTTGAATGTGCAATGCAGTATATATATATATATCAGAGAGACAATTTATAATAAAGAGAATATGATATAGTAATGTATAGCCTAGTAATTATATAATATGAATGGCTAATTAGTTCATAAACTACCTTTTTACACACACACACACAGATATATATATATATATGAAAATATCATGAATAGATGAACAGATAGAATATCATGAAAATGATCCCGTCGACCTTTCTGTGGGCCGAGGTTTGCGCGGGGAGTTTGGCAGGCCTTCGTTTGGTGCGGTGCCGGCCCTGTAGCACGTCTGGCAGGGAACCCTAGGATGCCATGGATGCCTGGGATGCCTTGGGGCATGACTTACCCTCCGGTCATGGAAAATCCCAAGGGCCTGATGTTTTAATGGGACAACTACTGGAACTAAATAAATTGAACGTTTAAAGCTGGGAAAATCATCGAACTATTGCTGGGTGATTTTCCAGCAAACCATGTTTGACCACCAGAGGGTATCCATGATCCGAACTGCAATGACCGACTCGTGGTGAGTTTCGTAGTTTTATGTAGTTTTGGTATGTTTTGGTATGTTTTGCCCTCTGAGTGCACCATCATGACCTACCAAAACCTGGTCACAGGGCGATGCCCTCAGTGTATGACTGAGATTGAGAAGAGCATCAGAGGGCACCCGGTGCCATCACTAGACAAGGTGGGTAATGCCAAGGAAACCGAAACTGCAAGGAGGTCTTGGCAAGGCAGCGCTACATGATTAGGTTAATCGGTTAATCAAATCAAAAGGTGTATGTCATTGTTCTCAGCATCGGTTTCACCATTTTACTGATTTTGGTCTGATTCCCTGGACGCCAGCCAGCTGCGAGTCCATAGGACTCCTTTCTTTTCATGCTGAATGACGCAGCCTGAATCTGCGCAGGTTCAGCCAAACAGCATGAACTTCTTAAAGTTTCCCTTGATCGCCATGTTTTGGAACATGATCTTCTACATGTGTCATCCTCAGAGGGACCATGTGGCACCCCAGAAAAATGTTTCGATGGATCGGTCTCCAGCACTGGAATCAACCAAGGTTTAGCTGGATTCCCACGGTACCTCTGGAATTCTCAGCCCAAGCCACCGGTGCATCTAGGTGCGTCCTGGCATTTTTCACCGATTGTGGCTTCCTGAGCACTGAGCCCAAGCTGGATATGGTCCAGTGCGCTGCAGCACACAAGGCACGCGATGGCACGCGGGTTCCAAGATGTTTTTCCTCTTTCTCATGACAAGATCAGGAATGGTAATGATCTGGTAATGTATGTTATATTATTTAACTGGTTTGCATTGATTTGCTATATTTGCTGATGTTCTTTTCTGCCAGACTTTGGCAAATTGTGAGAGACTTCCGGAGTTTAGCCTGGCTGTGCAAGCAATGCTGTTTTGGAATGGCAGGACTTCTATGGCTTTTGCACCTACTTGCCTTGTGTGCTTCATCTCTGTCGTGCCTATTGGGTCCCTTGGATCCAAACGATCCAAGGAGCCAGGATCTGCTCACCATTTTTTTTAGCATTCTAAAATCCCAGCTATTTTGGGACCAGAAATCCTCAGGTGCCAGAACCCATAGCCAGCCCAGGCGATGTACTCTCAGGGAGGTGTTGTGCCCTGGCTGGAGGATCATGATCTGGAGGGCGGGCGGCGGGGTAAACCCAGTGATTGGTTTGTCTTATCCGATTAACATCGATTAAGCATTTTTTAAGAGGTCAATATAGGCAAATCATCCATAAATGAACCATTTTCCATTGTCAAATGACCGGAAGGATCCGGAAGGTAAGTCCCAACCTTGGGTAATTAAAGGGAAATCCCCGAACTAAATGGAGGCTTCGAGCGTTTTAAAATCATCGAACTATTGCTGGTGGATTGTCCAGCAAGCCATGGAGCCGATTACCGGAAGGTAAGTAGATTTCGATATATATATATATATTATATGTATATCATAATATATCTACCATAGTTTCACATAAATCCAATCGTTATCAACATTCACCCGCTGAACTAAACCAACTTAGCTGACCAGCTGGGGGCACCACCTTGTACGTCGTGGCATCATGACCGGACGAGCCAAGAATCGCATGACTGTGGCGTGCCACGCTTTGCTTGCCAGGTCATTTTCGGAGATGGTTTCTGCATGGGAGCACGCCACGAATTCCTCCGAAAATGAGGTCCTCTTCCCGACTCTGTCCATGAGGTAGGGCGCAATTACGGACCATGTATGCCAGTGAGCTTTGAGTCCCACCATTTCAATATCTTGGTCTTAGTATATGATCGGCTATGTTGGTTTTGGAAGGCGCCACTCACATTGTAGCTTCAAGGCTTTGATTGGTTTGAAAGTTTGAAAGAATTCCCTTACATTCATTTCAAAGATTGGTGTATGGTGCAGTGCTTACCAAACAGCAGCCAGTTCCATACAGGGTGGTGCGCAAAGAGCCAAAGCACTCACCATGGATCGATCCTTTGTTGCACCCGCCAGGGATTTGACGACTCTGAGGGTGGTGCCATCACCTGTTGTGCGGCTAGTGATTGGGGGATCCCTAAATGGTTTACTTGACAAACCTTCCCGTGATTTGATATTGACCAAGACAGGGATGTACGAAAGGGACATGAAGACACCCAAGTTTGGATCCTAACCTAACCCATATTGGCACGATTTGGCGATATTTCGTTATTTGAGCATTCTAATGATCAGGTACACAAATGTACACAGCCAAGAGTAAACAAGCAGAGTTGGTCCGGGCACCCACCTTGAAATCCACACAGTGACCATAAGGTACCAGAGTTGTGTCATAAGGGACCCTTCCATCACCCTGCGTTCCGCAGCCTTGCGACATCGTGACTGCGCAGAATGGTGCCCGTTTGGTTCCAGTCGCAGGGCTTCCGCGTTGCCTCCAAAGTTGCCTCGGCATGGATACTCCTTTGTGATCTGTGCAACCAAGAGGTGTTTTTTTGAAATGCTCTGTGTGGTCAGCTCCACAGCTAACATGAAACTCAAGCCTACCATGCCATGCCATGCCCATATTTTCTCATATAATGTTGAAGCTGATTCGTGTAGGGCCCCCCTCCAACAATTTTAGGCTACTCAATGACTCAGCATTTTCTGGCCCCACCCCTCAACAATTTTTAGGATAGTCAACTTAAGTAAGGATTTCAATTGACATCTGCTTTCAATTGATTTTCCTTTTGAACTTCGAAAAATATATTGAAAAGAAAGGCTTTCAATTGAAATCAATCTACGTTCAATTTCTTTTCCTTTTAAACTTCAAAAAATATTGATAAGAAAGGATTTCACTTGAAATCAATTTGCTTTCAATTCATTTGAATCTACTTTTAATTGATTTTCCTTTTCAACCTCAAAGAAATCTATTGATGAGAAAGGATATCAATTGAAATCAAATTACTTTCAATTCAATTGAATCTACTTTCAATTGAGTTTTCTGTTAAATAAAAAATGACCCAAACAAAATGTGCACAATAGGGTGCCATCGAAACAATTACACTATTGAGGATCTGGGTCACTCATGGGGTACCCCCTTGAATTTTATTTTGGGTGCTGTTTTTTAATACAGAGCTGACTCAAAGTGGTTGCCTGATTATCAGGGTAGTTGAAGACGGAAGGTCTCTAATTAGAGCATGTTTTTGATAATTAGCTGCAAGACGCGGCAAGGACGTGACTCCTTACAAGCAGTGAATGAAAAAAACATGTTTTTTAATAAGGGTTTAATAAGGCATCTAATTATTTGGGAAACCTTGCATTTTCAAGGCTTTAACATGGATATGGCTTTCTGAAGTAAATGGACCAGCTTTACCCAAAGAAAGGTGGATACTGTAAGAGGTTTGTGTTTTTTCACCCAAAAAGTTTTTGTGCACAATAGGGTACCATCAAAGAATTACATTATTGAGGATCTGGGTCAGTTGTGGGGTACCCCCGTAAAAAAATGTTTGGGTGCTGTTTTTTTTCTTTAATTAAACAAATAAGGATTTAATAAGACATCTATTTTTTTTTGGAAACCTTGCATGTTCAAATCTTTAACATGGATATGGCTTTCTAGAGTAAATGGACCAGGTATGCAAATAAAAAAGGGTAATTAATTATTATTTTCTGAACCATATTTTTTCCTCCTGAAAAAATGGATCTGAGAAAAACAAATCTCACAATTGAGTTCTTTTCAAAGTATTTGAACATACTCAATAATTTTCAGAAGGGGACACCCTGGGAGCGCGCTTTTTCACTGCATTCTGCAACCACTGACACTGCACATGTGCCATGGTTCTATCACTGCTTTGCAACCATTGACAATTTCTGTTTAGGTTTTCTGCAATGGCTAAACAAAACCAAAATCCAAAAAAACAAAAAACCAAGAAACCAAAAAACCACCAAAACATCAAACCAAAAAAACAAAAAATCCAAAATGGCAAGACAAACTCTCTGCCGGTACTCCCCCCCTTGGGGTGTGCAATCTCGTTGTTTCTTTTTTGTTTTTTTTGGTTTCTTGTTTTTTTTGGTTTTCTTGGTTTTTTGGTTTCTTGTTTTCTGGTTCGTTGTTGGTTTTTTGAAGGGCTAAGGACCTAGACCTAACTCTTTGCCAGTTCTCCCACTTTAGGGGTTGCAAACTTGCTTTTGGTTGATTTTATGATTTGCTAACTTGGCCTGTGGTTCCAGTAAAAAACCATGTAAAAAACTATGGCAAAATGCAGGTATCGGAGGAAGCTTGGGGGTCTTGGGACACAAATTAGGCAGCCAATGAATGTGTAGAACTGATTTTGATATTGACATTCTTGGCTCAAACCCTTGGATTATTGACATGTTCAAACACTTTGAAATATTCGCTTGAAAAGGAGTGATACATCTCTTTGAAGTGAGTGCTTCCTTCAACAAGTGCATTTCTTTTATAAAATGGTAGAGCCCGGTAGAGCATCCCATTGAAGTAGGTCATGTCTTAGTCTAAGTCTATGTCAAAAATGAGCCCTCTTGCACATGCACTGCCCTTTGCACAATATTTTTTCTTAAATGAAGGGCACATTTAAGCATGTAAGATATGTCTTTCACTATTGCACATCATTTTTCAAACATATTGCACTTTTGAAAGCGATGCCCTATGTCAATGATACTGCATATATCATGCAGAAATATGGACTTTTCTAAAAGGGGTACTGCTCCTTTGAAAGGAGGGTTAGACATCTGGAAATGCACACTGCACTCCTTCAAAGGGCATGGTGCAACTTTTCAAGGAATACTTCATATTTTGTATGGATATTGCCCCTGCAAAAACACACTGCGTTGCCCCAAAGGAAGATTACTCTTATTCAGAAGGATATGGATATGTTTGTTTTGAATACTGCATTTGTTGGCAGGTATGGGGATGTTGTAATTGTGTTGAAATCATCTAGCATATTCTGCAGAAATTGTGTCTTGTTGAAGGGACAATGTAGTAGCATTTATCTAAGGTAGAGTCTAAGGTAGAGTGAACACCTGGACACTTCTTCAAGCAATACATGCGATCTAGTGGACATGAACACAGCTTCATCTGTAGCTTAAGCTTTAATGTGATTACAGTTTTGAAAAACAACAACAAAGTGCACTCCCACAGCGTCCTGCTCTCATAATTTTTGGGAATTGTCTCACAATAGAGTCCCATGACACTAATCGGGATCCAACATTAAAATGTTCACCTTTCGGCGCTGACGCCAGGCTTGGGGTCCCATGCCTGGTTGGGCTAGGGCGCCCAAAATTATTACCCCTCTAAGATTGGATGGCATGAGCTATTATTTACCAATGAAACATCAATGACATCAATGAAACATCAATGAACCATCAATGAAACATCAATGAAACATCAATGAAACATCAATGAAACATCAATGAAACATCAATGAAACATCAATGAAACATCAATGAAACATCAATGAAACATCAATGAAACATCAATGAAACATCAATGAACCATCAATGAAACATCAATGAAACATCAATGAACCATCAATGAAACATCAATGAAACATCAATGAAACATCAATGAACCATCAATGAAACATCAATGAAACATCAATGAAACATCAATGAAACATCAATGAAACAACAATGAACCATCAATGAAACATCAATGAAACATCAATGAAACATCAATGAAACATCAATGAAACATCAATGAAACATCAATGAAACATCAATGAACCATCAATGAAACATCAATGAAACATCAATGAAACATCAATGAAACATCAATGAACCATCAATGAAACATCAATGAAACATCAATGAACCATCAATGAAACATCAATGAAACATCAATGAAACATCAATGAACCATCAATGAAACATCAATGAAACATCAATGAAACATCAATGAAACATCAATGAACCATCAATGAAACATCAATGAAACATCAATGAAACATCAATGAAACATCAATGAAACATCAATGAAACATCAATGAAACATCAATGAAACATCAATGAACCATCAATGAAACATCAATGAAACATCAATGAAACATCAATGAAACATCAATGAAACATCAATGAAACATCAATGAAACATCAATGAAACATCAATGAAACATCAATGAAACATCAATGAAACATCAATGAAACATCAATGAACCATCAATGAAACATCAATGAAACATCAATGAAACATCAATGAAACATCAATGAAACATCAATGAAACATCAATGAAATCGATGAGCATAAAATGAATCATGAATTCGTAAATTCAAAAAATGACCTGCCTTCTGCAGGTCCATTGGCCATGATTTGCAGGCCATTTGTTGTTTGTTCCCATAGTGTCCAGCCGAGCCTGACAGCATTGCTGAAGCCCCAACCGTGCCCGACTTTGAAGGGCGAGTGGTTCAGACGACCTGGCATTAAGATGGCAATCTTGTGATGATGCCTACATGAGTCATTCAAGACCTGTTGATTTATTAAATTTATTAATTATGATTTATTTGTGATCGGGGGTTTCGATCCGCGGCAAGTTTTTTTGGGGATTCTGATAACCCACCCATGGGGCGGGGATATCTATCGAATGGGAGAGGGAAAATGATAGGTGAGGGGACTCCTGTTGCTGGGAAGAGTTTCAAAAAAATCTTATATATAAGTTGTCAAGCAATGAAGCTATCGCAGAATATCGCAGACCTGATAAAGCTTGGCTAAGTAGCAGGATGCTGCGTTTTACTGCTTACTTTCAGAAAAAAATGCGTTGCAAAATCGAATCCAGAAGGAGAGTTATTAGATGTTTTTGGTTTTCCATTGGCCCAATCCACGTTCGAAGATCTAGTGTGCGTATGTCAATTGTCGTTGGGCCATCAAGAATCATTGATGGCGGCATCAGGGCAGGTCATTTCGACGGGTCGCCCTCGATGGCCGTCTTCGATCGGCGCAAACCGTTTCCGCCAATGACGTCCCGGTTCCTATCGGCGTGGTGTCAAGCGTGATGACAGCATCGCTCGATGGAAATAGATGGACATAGGGGGCCTTGAGGAAGTGAGCAGCAACTGTTCAACCATACCCTTGAGTGGAACCAACTTTCCACAGACAAGTACCATAGTGTCCCGTTGTGTCTTGGACATGATACTGGGATTGCATGCAGTTCTAAAACATGATCGATGAATTTCTCCCATCCGAAACTTAAGTTCAACTTTGGTGTGATGCAAATTCAATCCAGATCAAATATTAGTGGTGCAATGTGGTGCAAGAGTGGGTTCCAAAGGCGTTATCTTTTTACATGGGATGTTCAATATACGGAGTGTGTGCTGAACGATTCAAGCACTTTCAATGGCCCGAGATGTTGGATGGCATGTCAGAAATTTCAGGTTATTAGGACAATCTGCTATGCATACCTGTGCATATATAAGACATAAACATTAATAAAGGATTAAAGGAACTAGTCAGACCTCTCGCAAACTATTGCAATTTGTTCCCAAGTAAAAAAAACATACATACATATATACGTTATATATTGTACAAATAATAAAGCCAGTGCCTGAAATTGCCTTCATTTGATTCAAGCGGTGAAGACTTGCACAATGGATTATCATGGCATGCCGTCATGACATGTTCTCCATTTCAGCAAACGAGAGGGACACATCAAGCTGCTTGTCGCACAGCCATGGATCCACATACGGCAAGGCCATCAAGGCCGGCCCCTGGCATCCTACTGGGCGCGGCGGGCCGCGATTGTCGGGGCCAAGAAGTGGTGGAACCCACCATGCCACAGAGGTTGAAAGTTCCCAAGCCACCTGATCGGCTGCTGTTGGGAGGAGAGCCCACAGGAGTGTTGCACACGGGTGAAATCGTGAGTCGCCTTGAACGCAACCGTCGCACCAAGGGTCACTGTCGTCCTCAGCACCGCTTGGAGTCAGGAGCCATCTCTGCCCTGCAGAATGTGAAGAGCGATTTGCCAGTGTGTTGTCGAGCTCCGGGTGAACCACCAGCAGAAAAACTACGACTTCTGTTGCGGCCAAGGCACAAAGTGCAGGAAACTTCCAGGGCACATCTCCCCGTCTCCATCCCCGTAGTGCGGGAGCTTCAGCGCCTCCGTGGCGCACCCGCAGCGGAGATTCAGCGCATCTCGGCACAGCCGCCGGCCGCGCGGCTGCTGCGCTATGACCGGGATGACTGGGATGCCTGTGAGCCGACTCCCAAGGAGCGGCAGAGGGCATCGCCGGCATCGCATCAGCCTCAAGGGCTGATTTTTCCCTGCTTCAAATCTTCCAGAAGACTCAATCCGGAGGAATATCCTGCCAAACCATCCAAAGCATTTGCAGCAGTCTTGCCAAGTTAAGCTGAGGGCAATGGTACTACTGTAGAATGATTTTAAGATATTTTAAGTCTTGTCTTGTTTGCCCGGTGGTGCTGACAGAGCGCTGCTGGCATCACAGTGCCGGCAAAGCTGCGCACGTGGTATGCAAGGGCCCCATCATCGGACATTCCCAAACTGGACTTCCCTGCACAGTTTGAGGTGAAAAATGTGAAAACAGGAACCTCCACAGTCTCCACAGACCTCATCATTGAATCTGAAATGATCAACCACGACGCCATGGACCCAGCCACGGCCAGTTGGAGATGGTGAAATCCTTACCCGACTTCCTTGAGTCACGGGGCCCTTGGTCGGGGGAGGCTCCCCTAGAGTCAAACAATTTGAAGGTTGGAACGGTACAGATAATTGTTTTCCATTCCTTTTTTTGAGTTCTTTAGATTTCGATTGCCATTTCCTTTCGATTTTTTCCTTGATAGATCTTGATAGCCATCAAAATCTCGTTCTCCAAAGGTCGAAGATCTGGTCTGCAATTGAGCACCCAAGGGTTTCCATGTTTTTCTCTGACCCCATCAGACGTCCCAGAGACGAAACCTTCATAAATCTTCAGACCCATTGCCAATAGGGGCTGGGCCGGTTGGGAAAAAACTATGGAATATTTGTCCAATTTGAAGAAGTGAGAGCATTGATATGGAGGGTTTCCAGATGTTTCCAAGTTTCCATAAATGGGAAGCCCCAAATCATCCATTTTTTGTTGGGATTTTCCAGCAAATAAACCACCCAGCTATTGGGGTACTTCCATTTATGGAAACCCCCATGTGCGATGTTCCAACAGCCCAGGGAGCGCTTCGGCTTTAGCACCTTCCTCAAGGAGCCGCGTAAGACACTTCAGCATCAAACATTGAGGGATGACTACAGTACACATCAAATATGTACTGCATGAATCTGCATGATATTTTGTAGTAGTGTGTATCAATGTATATTAGATGTATATCATATGTATATATACTGTATATCCTGTATATTTGATATATTATCATATCATAAAAGTGTATATCGAATCATATGTAAGTCAGACCATATTAGAATATATAATCACATATATTAGCCGAGTCAAACAAAATTAAGAGCTGACCATATCAGCCATATGCAGCTGGCACAGGAGCTGCGTGCGGCAGCTCCTAGGAACCGACCGGGCCTCACAGCGGCGGCGACTTGGACGTTACATTTGGCGCCTTTTGATGGCATTTTTTTGATTTTGAATGACTTATATAATTAAATTTATGTACACACACATATATATATATATAGATAGATAGATAGAGGCGAAGAGCTGATGATCATCATTTTGGATTTTCTGGCCACTTTCACAGAAACCCAGGTACATCTGTAATTATTCGTAGACACACAATTACACAAGAATTGGTGCACAATGGTGAGCACTATTTAATACTTATCAGGCAATAAGCATCCATAAAATCAGGGCCCAATTTTGATCCCAAGTGCTGTCAGTAGCTGCTAGCCCCACCTAGCCCCAAGGTGCGGTTGCAGATGTTCGGAATGACTACCAGCAGTGGAGCCGTGACACAGGCACTCCGGTTGAAACCTGTCCTAACGACATGAAACAGATATTTTCTGGTACCCTCTGGTAAACTAACATAACTATGTAAAATCACCATTTTTAATGGGAAAACCCACTATCAACGGCCATTTTCAATAGCTATGTTAGTTTACCAGAGGGTACCTGTAAACATTTCCACTGTACCCATTTCTTCCCACAAATTGTCTGGTTTGGCACCATTTGGATTCCATGTTGGCGCAGTCGCTTTGTGATGCACGTCATGCCCCGCGCAGTCCATTGGCTTACAGCTTAGAAGGTAGGATCCACCCAGACAGGGATGCATCGTACTATAACCCCAACTACCCACGCGTTTGCGCTTTGCTGCAAGTTCTGGAATTTGGATCCGCACTTGATAGCAATTATATAATTATAGGTTTTCACGTGCTGGATTTTTTGTCTATCTAAATATAGATCAAAAAGATCGAGCAGTAATTTAAGCCATTATTTTAGCATATTTAAGCATCGAATTTACATTTCTATTTTCTTGGTGCTATTGGATTTGTTTCCACTACAGTCGCCATGTTTGCCCTGGAGTTTGACCTGGTGGATCCTTTGTGACATGGTGGAAATGGCCGACCTGTGGTTAATCATGGTTAATCACCAGGATAAGCGATAGCATAAACCTCAAAGCATGGCACAAGCATGTGAGTTAGTATATACATGTATATGCATGATGCACATGCCATACACACACATATATAAGTAGACATATCTATATATATACTATGGTTAGTTTACATGCATGTGTTTGAACACGGGACACTGTGAGACACCTCATAGTGTGATCAGCGGCCACCCGGGATACGCAGCCCGGTAGGTACCGCCCCCCGCTCTCGCTGGCCATTTGTGCAGCGGCAGTGAAATACATCACCACAGCCTGGGTCCGGACGCCCGGAGTTCAACTTGGTGAACCCAGACGGAAGGTTTAGGTCAAGCTACTTGTATTTACTGTATTTGTGCGGCACATGTCAGACGATGCAAACGGGTTCACGAGAACCACCTTTCCAGAATTGCACATCATGGTCATCATGTGGTAAATCCAATAATAACATTATATAACAACAATAATGTGGTAATTAAGCCATATTAATCCCTTTCCCCTAATACTAACCCCGCCTCCCAAATAATAAACACATCAGGTAGTTTTTATTATTGGGGTGGTATTTATTATTAGGGAACCCTAATAATAAATTGAAACCCTTATTTAACAAAAAAAACGATTTCAAAATCAATTAAATTTCCTTATATAACGCAATTAAAGTATTGCCAAAAACTGGATTTCGAAGCGGACCCTATTAATGATTTGAAACCCTTCATAAAAAAAGACTAAAAAAAACGGTTTCAAAATCAATTAAAATTCCTGATATAACGCAATTAAAATATTGCCAAAAATTGGATTTCGAAGCGGACCCTATTAATAAATTGAAACCCTTAATAAAAAGACTAAAATTGTCACGGACCCTAGTAATAAACACCCTGGGGTTAACTAGTTTTTATTATTAGGGGGCGAAACCCACAAATGGTAGCTTTATTTTTTAATTGTTTTCTAAAGGGGATCAATTAAAAGTCAAATTGGCCAATCTGAAATTGTCCAAAATTAGAGATGGACCCTAGTTTTTATTATTTGGGGGGGGGTTTAGTAATAGGGGGACGGGATTAAACCCAATGATACTCCATCCCCAAGTAGAGATGGCTAGCAAACCATTCGCCAACTGGGGGCTGAGCCCACGAGGTGCTCGATGATCCTTTGCTAAAGTCGAGCGCAACCTTGCAAAAGGACCGCTCCCATTGGACGATGATGTGGGTGGCGACTTTGAGAATGTTCATGATATTTTGCTTCAATATTCCGACAGATTTCCGAAAGATTTGGAAGTCGATGGCATGGTGGGGCTCACAATCTTGGGGCTTGATCGCCCCGGCTGCCCCTCAGCAACCCCAAGCAGGTCAGCATGAGACGGTCCTAGCGTCGGTTGGGTTTGGAAGTGAGTCCCAACGCAGGAGCGTGAGGGACCTCCTAACGTCAAGGCAGGAGCATCAGACAGAGACCCATCACATTTCGTCCTTTTTAGGGAGAGAAAACCTAAAGAAACCAATACAGTAATCAAAAATAATCATGTTTTTCTTTCTCCGTGATTCTTGTTTCCTTAAATCAATAGAGAGACATTTGCATTATCTGTTCAGCCTCAGCTTGAGTCGACTCGCTATGAGTCATCGACTTCGGCTTGTGCAGTGTTTTTTGCCATACATCTAAACAACTGCAGGGGACGCATCTAAAGTGAGAAAGAATGGACCTGACTTGCGAGACTTTCCCCATGAATTAATTGATAGTTGTAAGATGTTGTAAGTTGTAATCCTAACTCCCCCTCACTATGAGATTTCGAGCTTTAGACCAGGGGTTTCTGACAAGTATATATAGTATATTTGATTTACGGGAAGGTAAAAAATTGCAGACTCAAGTCAGTCAGATCCATTTGCTTGTGGCAGCATGCAAATTCCTCTGGCTGGCAGTTTTTGCATGGCTTTTTGCTACCCCGAATGGGCACTCGAAGGTGTCGCGCATAGTTCTGCGGTGCTTGTTTTTGCTGTTGTCCGCCAATGTGCTTTTCAAGGACCGGACCTGAACCTATGATTTAGGAATACCATGGGAACGTCCGTACAAGCAAGATGCAACCCCTGTACTTTGGCTTTGAATTACAGTACCAGGTTGTTAAAGTGCCAGCTATGCACAAGGTAAGCAATTTTGACCTAGACAACGAGTAAGGGGTACCAAGTACCAACTTTGATATACAGCAATATGCAGCAATTTCTTCATTATTTTGATGGACATTCTCCCAATTAGTTAGGGTATATTCATCTGGGGTTACCACTTTTCCAGGACATAGCCCAAGTTGCTCGTGCCATCCACACCAGCACGGGCATTTTGAGGTGCGCAGCATTGCGCAGCCGGAGAAAATTTGGGGAAGTCCAGTGGTTTGGAACATTTTGAACACTGGCTGTTACTGGCTTGGCGGTTTCACACGTGATCTTTTTGTTTAAATCAACATAAATCAACCATATATTCGGGATGATGATCCCCCAATTGACTGTTTTCAGGGGTTAGATCCACCAACCAGAACATCATTTTCCTCATTAAACTGTGGCCCTATTCGTTGTGGTATACCATGGTTTTTCCCCCAAACGCCAAGGGGTCAGGGTCGATCCGGGCAGGTCGATGAATGCCATGGCCATTATCATTGCATTTAGCCAGCTCCCTAGATGTGTCACATTTCAGCATAGAGGACTGTTTTTGATGGTTCAGGACTGTTCAGGCTAGTGACTTAGTATGACTTAGTGGACATGCGGAAGTAGAGAACCAATCTGAAATTTAGGATCCTCTAAGGGGTTGATGGCATGTTTATGGCTAAAAACTGACCAAAAATCTATCAGGTCCCAATTCCGTTGCAGCGGTGGCAGCTGCCTGTGTCGCAGAGGTGGCGCGGCGGCAGATTTTCGGCAGTCTTCCATTCCAACCTGCAAGCTGCAGCTTCAAAAAGAGCATTACCCTCTGGTTATGTCAAAATAGCTATGGAAAATGACTTTTTTTGTTGTGGATTTTCCATGATTTTCCCATTAATCATGATGATTTTCCATAGCTATGTTAAATTACCAGAGGGTACACATCATTCATCATCATTCTGCTACCTGATCATACCTCATCTACACACACAGAGATCACTCCAGGTGAAGGTGGGCTGGACCCGCGGCTTCCCACTGCATGGCGGCTGGCCGGGATCCATGGGGAGGAACGGAAATTGCAGTTGGATGCCATGAAATGATATACACACAATCATAAACACACACACAGACATCGTATAATACATATATCGTTCGTGTAATATATAGGCATATAGGGTATATATATATATAATTTGGTCAAAGTAATTATACGTATATATAAATGTGTGTGTATGCATGTATGTATAATACAATATAGATAATTAGGTACAAATCTAAAGCAAGAGAGAGAGAGAGAGCTATATTTTATGTATCATATTGTGTCATTATGTGCTCGCATTGAAACAAACTGCCAAGTGGACAGACTTTTCAACAAACTGAGGCGAGTCATGCTATCCGAATCCATTGCCATGGCAACTGGGCCAGCTGGGCGGCGGTTTCCGGCTGGTTTCAAAGAGGACTTCGCTTGGAAGTGCATCACCCCTGTTTTTAAATAAGGGGGCTGCTATGGGCTGCTAGATATTGAAGATCACAACAATGGAGATTCTTTACCAATCATATTTTGGAGATGTTCGGACGGGTTGTTCAATCACCAGCCGGGGCCAGAACTTGTGGTTTTGAAAGTAGATGCGCCGCAACGAAAGACCTTCCCCCACCATACTAGTAAGGGTCTCTTCCCACGGGTTGTCATTGGAGAGGCTATGGTGGCCATGGGAAAGGTACCTGGCGAAGTCAGCCGTTGCAACCTTTCACCGCCGAGGCCTATGGTTTTCTACTTTGCTTCGTCTACATTTGCCCGCTCTTCATCACCTTCATGACCCAACCGGGGATTGGCCATTTAATTGGTTCCAAGATGGTAGATGGTAGGAGGCCCTGCCCAAGCTCCTGAATTTTGGTGTGTCCCCAGAGATTCCGCGAAAATCGGGGGGTTGGCACCACAACACCTTCAAAGCAGGACGCATGCGCTCACAGGAGCAGCTGCAAGGGGTCTCAATGGGGCGGAGGGATGCGGAGGGATCAAGTGCGACACAATTGAAATTTGGTGCCTGAGACTCCTGAGATTCCTGAGACTGTCATCATTTGTCATCCAAATTCCCACGTCCCAATGGACGAACAAATCTCTGCCATTATCGCAAACACATGAAAAACCTTATACATCCTTATACAACATATTATTTGCAGATGATGCAGAGAAGTGCCAAAGAACCAATCGATTTAGAGCTGGTATATGCAGCTCGTTGCAACTATCTTCCAACAATGGTTCGGGACATTCAAAGTGACCTGCCATGGGGATCTCATGCATTGCCTGATGCCCTCCGGTCATTTCACAGCTTGCGAACTGGAAGCCATGGCCATGTAGTTCCATGCTTTACATTGATTATTGATTTTCCATGACTTATGAAGAAACAAAAAAAACAGTATGTTTTTCCAGTTTGCAAGCTGTAAGAAATTACCAGATCCTCGAAAAAGGCGCTGCGCGTCGAGCTGAGCCAAGGTGGTGTCCTATGCATTCGCCTACGACTTTGTGACCCTTCCTTGGAGGTGAGAGATCCTGCGCATCCTGGTTGAAGATGTTCCTTGTGGCTTTCCATAGGTTTCCCATCCATGTGAAACAATATGAACAAATGTGATATGTATATATATATAATATATATATATGATATATGCACACCAAAACAAGATTATGGCACGAAAATCCAGCTTGGCAGGTCAATCTCTCTTCGTACCTCAGTCCTTAGCTTCCGTCAGGCTGTACACGGGTCATATGGCGGAGATCTGGATCGCCGTGCCCATCTTCAATGCCGCAGTGCTGTGGACTGTCCTGCCGCTGGGCGGCAGGGAAGTGAGGGATGGACTGTGAGGGAACTTTAGGGCGGATGAGAACGTGAGGGAACTTTAGGGAATATATTCCACATGCATCTTCAATGTTCAACAACGATATAAGCTTTGAAACACCCCCTTGGATATCTATAGGTAGGTGTGGGTGCAAACTGGCGAGCAGCTATGCTTCAAAGAGTTGCCAACCGCGAAACTAGCGAAAATAAGTCTTGCAGAGCTGAATGCATTTCAGGTACACGTTCATCGTCATCGGCTTGCAACTCAGATCTCGTTGATCTCAACGGTCAGGTAGTGGTGCAGAACTACCCTTTTTGTTGAGGGATCGTGATGGACCATGGTATACCTGTCCCTTTGGGTTTGAATAAAAATATACTATGTATATATTACACACATATATATATATATATGTTTATATATGTTTATATAAATAGATAGATGTCACCCCCAAAAAATTAATGGTCTATCGGTTTATCTATTGTTTTGTCATGGTTTCTCATCCTTTTCCCCATCATTTGACAGCCTTTTACTCATGGATTATACTTCTAAATCCTGGTAAAAACGGTAAAAATATCCATGACGTTCAGAGCCGGGACTCGCCGTCAGGCTACTACTGGCTCGTGCAGGCCCGATATCCTGAAATCGCTCAGCAGAGCAAGACAGGACGGGACCGCCTGCCGACAAGCATCTGGAGGTTTAGGATCCGGCCCATGGCCTACCAAATTAGATTCGTCTAGAGCATGTTGACCAACCTTATGCTCATAATATATAGTTATATAATGTTATATAGTTATATATATATGGTATAAACATGTGTATACATAAAATACATAAAACACAATGTTGAAGTTGGAGAATGACATGGCAGATTCAGTGGCGTCCAGCACTGAATTCCATTTTTTTTGGTGGAGCGACCAGGAGGTGAGAAGAGGATCCTCAAGGAGCAACGTGCCATATCTTTCCTCATTTTCTGAATACCCTCTGGTTATGTCAACATAGCTATTGAAGATGACCATTTATAGTGGATTTTCCCATAAAACATGGTGATTTTCCATAGCTATGTTAAATTACTAGAGGGTATGTGTCATGTTTTTCTGAAAACACTTCTGCAATGAACAACTGTGCCCCCTTCTGTGTTTTGAACCGCAGTATTGACGATTATTAAATTTATTAATGAGATGTGTGACAAATTAAGAGTCATGGCATGACCTGCTCAAGACAAGCACTCCTCAAGCGTCCGTGGCCATGTTTGGCAGGAGCAGATGCCGCACCAGGCCACGGCGGCAGCCAGTGGATGGATCCATCAAAGGGATCCCTCAAGGTATTTTGTAGCCATGGGAAACCATGGGAAACCATGGGAAACTAAAATGGCATTTTCATCCAAGTAAATCATCCAACTAGATGGACCTAGATGGACCTAGATGGACCAGCTATTCAGCTATTCATCCATTTTCAATAGCTGGCTGTTAGCGGGTAATCGGGGAGTAATTTGCAGATACCCTTGGCTAGCTCTGAACCTCCATTTACTTGGGGGATTTCCAATTACCACGTTGGATTCCCCGAAGGTAGCCGGAATAAAGATAATTAATCATAATGATTAATAATATATGATAAGATAATAGGAATCAATGACACAAGTAGTTAGTTACAGTTAGTTAGCAATAAAGACAGTCATACACATTTCAATCAAATTATATAATTCATCAATGATACTAGTACAACTAATAATGCAACACACTGACGATACCATGACACTGCATTTAATGCACGCTCACCGCTGCGGCTGGCAGTTTTGACAGATGGCAATAGAGAGAGAGAGAGAGAACTGCAATGACAAAAATGATGATAGTGATAGTAGTACTGTAATAGTAATGATTATGATAATATGATAATGCCAATCTCCCGGTTGGCTCAGCTACAAGAAAGGATTGCACCAAGATGCCTTGAAGCATGCCCTGTGCCCAGCTTGGCTCCAGCACCACGGCTGGTCATCCGCGGATTTTCTCATTGAAACAGACCACTGCACGGAGGTTTGGGGCATGCTCAGCAGTGCAAAAAGGCGGTTGGAAGTGCTGAATGTTTTCCAACATCACTGGGAATGCATCAAAAAGCTCCGTAATTAGATTCAAAATATAATATATATATATATATGATATGTTGTCGTGTTAGAGGATTTATAGGACTTCCCGATGCCTTTTTGGCTGGCATTACTTGAAGCACGGCGGAGTCAGCTACCACTGCACAACATGTAGCCAGCTTAGCCTACGAGTTTAAAAAAATCTTCCGCCACAATGCTCGCCAGCGATGACCGTGCGGTTACTGCGGCATTCAGAGGCTTTGAGGCAGCTTGCCCTGCAGACCGCAGATGGCCAAACTACCGCGCCAGTAGTGCCGCAGCCGGAACATCCACAGCCAGAGTCAGGCACTGGTGCGGCTTCAGGTTCTACTTGGCTATGCATCTCAGTTGGTATGTGGCTAACAATCCTGGTATAATCCGGGTATGAATGATAACCACCATGCCCACTTAGAACCACCCAAGAGCCAATTAGGACCTGGGATGCCAGGTGCAAGTCACTGCCGGGCCTTCACTACCTGAAATATCCTCACAGTAAACTGGTGAGATTTCTTCATTGTTGTGAGCAAACGCACCCACCCGTACTAAACCAGCTACAAATGGTGTAACCCGTGGTTAATATTGGAGGGAAAGGGTTACAGTTTAAATATATATATATATATATATTATTATATAATATATATATATATGTCCGGTATTTACGTACAGTACATTACATAATCACAATTTGTATCCTCTGTATCCAGCCTCCCAATACAGGACCCATCGATCAAGCCGCGAAACTGCTGAGTGAAATTTTGGAGTTCGCTGAGTTTGTGAACAGTTACTGGATTATTACCCCTGCTTTTCACTGGGGATTTTTGCCGCTTACAACCCAACTGATACCATATCTCATGTTCCACCCCGTTTCAACACAGGTAAATCAATTCCATAACTTATCATACCATATCAGTATATTGCAGTGATATGCTCAATTCCCCACATGGGATCGTTTTTTTGCTACACAGCCACATTTTTTTTGTTGACCATCCATCCCCAACGGCCCAACGGCCGTTGTGCCGCAGATGAGTTGCAGCAGTTGGCTGCTTCGCTACGGCGTGCCACAGAGGACTTCGCCGTGCAGCGGCACCAGTTGCGGCAGCTGCAACGGAGGAAGGAGCAGCAGAAGGCGGGGCCGTTGCGGTGCGAGGGCGCGGCAACGGCAGGGCTGTGGAGTTCGGAGATTTTGGGGATTTGAATGTTTTGGTTGTTCCCCTTTAAATAAGTAAAACATATGTAACACAACAGACAATCGATGGTTTATAGGTCTAAAAGCAACTAAATGGATTGGGAGTGTCAGCAATACTTATTGGGTGTAGAATGGAATATAATTAATCATGTTCCATCCAGTGGTGAATGGAGAGAGGTTCAGAGCTAGGGCAGCTAGGGGCATCCATATTCCCTCTTGAATGGAGGAGCCAAGGGGGGAGTTTCCCGAGCAATTATTTGATAAGACTGGGTGGGGGGAGGTTCTTTAATCGTACTTGTCGTAAACGCAAGAACAAACAGAGAGGTGTAAGCAATTCGGTCTAACGGTTTAAGCCATGAAAGAATGCGGTTTACAGGGCAGATGATGCTGTCTAGCCGACAGCAATGGGCAATGAGGCAACAAACACGGGGGCAGACATGGGATCTAGGATGAGTAGTTGATGAACCTGATGACGAAGAATTGGATGATGATGATGATGATGATGATCATGATGATCATGATGATGATCATGCATGATCGTCATGATGATCATGATGAGGAGGAGGAGGAGGAGGACGACGACGACGAGGACGACGACAGTATATATGGTAATCATCTGGTAATCACATGGCAATGATGATAGTAGTGGTGATAGCAATGACCATGATACTGGGGAAACCCGTGCTACAGTTCACAACGATTAACACCCAAAGTAGGTCAAGCTGGACGTTTTTAGCAATGTGGGAATGGAATCCAAATGCGATCGAATCTGACCCATTGCCAAAGGGTGGGCTGAAATTCAATGGTTTGATGCAAGTGATGCAAGGGATGTGAAAAACACCTTTTTTACCATGGCATTTCGTTTCAGCAAATCTTGGATCAAAACCGTGTCAGCATATTTCAGAAAGTTCTTTCGGACACCAAAAACCATCAAAAACCATCAAAAACCATCAAAAACCATCAAAAACCATCAAAAACCATCAAAAACATTCAAAAACCTTCAAAAACCTTCAAAAACCCAGCAATTTCCTCAATTTCATAGATTTTACAGACCATTTAAACTTCCCCAAAGCTCCACGGCGCTAGCGCAGCACCGTAGCACCGTGGCACCGCAGGCGCTCTTCCGGCGCGCTTCGGCGGCCTCGGCTGCGTGCGCGGCTGCGGTGCTGGCAGCCATTGAGGAGGCTCAGCAGCTGCTGAAAGAATTGCTGGAGATGAGAGAAATGGAGCAGTTGCTGCGACTCAAGGCTTGGTGGGGAGATCTGGAGAATGAGAAAATACTTACCAGGGAGACTCGGATGTAGATTTGTTGTAGAGAATAGAATGGTTGATAATGCCTGGTTCTTTTTCCGGAAAAAACATGGGGAGGAGAAACTTGGATTTGATACATAGAATGGTTATGATGGTTCTGAATGCGTGATAATGTAAGGCATCTAATGAGTAAGATTTTTGAGTCCATCAACAATGACATACAGCATGGGTTTGGATTGGAATGGATTGGATAGGGATAGATGATTTTAAACACAGCTGAAAAATGGGTGGTTTCACGGGCAATGTCTTTTGTTGCTTGGCTGATGTTGCTTGGTGAGGGAGGTGCAAACAGTAGATGGAAATCCAAGCGCAATGAGAAGTGGCTAGTATTTAAGTTGAAGCTAGGTTATCATTGAACATTTAGAATATTTAAGGAGAGAGACAGAGAGAGTCACGAATAATTACAGTAATTTGGGTAAAGCAATAATAAACAACCCATATATTGATAGTATACACCACCCATTTATGGTAAATTTATGGTAAAATTGGAGGTGGCTTACTATTGCTTTACTAACATTATCTGAATTACAACTACATAAGGGGGGGCTGTTGGTCCTTGGGAGCCGGCACCATCCCATTCGGACGAAAACCTGAGAAAAGCATAGCGGCTTTGTCCAAAACTTGGGGCCACCCACATGGCCATGAAAAATTGGGTGTATAAAGTCATAGCCACTCATAGTCATAGTCGTAGTAATCCAATTGGGGGTGTAGCATTTTGAGACATACCCGCGTTGCCTCGGTCAACTTTTGTATCTGGTGGCATCCCGGGACGCAAGAAACATATGATTCGGTAATATCACATAGCCATTGAACATGACCCATTTGTAGATGATTCACCTCTCAAAATTTCCATGGCCATGTTTCCATGGCAAAGTGTTAGATTACCAGAGGCTATCCCCATTGTATCAGCAGCACATTCCAATTGCTAGTCATTACATCCCAATTATACATATATATATATAATACTATATATCCTACTTATACCATTTAGTTACAATCCCTTCCCCCAACATCAACAAAAACTCCTCATAAACCATGGTTTAATAGGGGGATTTACACATTGGGACCATTTAGGGGGTGTTAATATTATATAGGCAGGGGGCTGGAATTATTCCAATTATACCTCGATTCTGGTTCGGTAATGTTCGGTATATATTCCAATTATATCTCAATTCTGGTTCGGTATATATTCCAATTATATCTCAATTCTGGTTTGATATACACACACATATATATATAATATATATATATATACATTTATGCATGCATGTATATATTATATATATATGCATAGAATTACTTATTATACGTAATTAGTGATATATTCCAATGCATATCATATCCATAGGATATGGTTGGTGTAGCACACAATCACCGCACAGGAACGGCAGGAGCTCGAGCTGATGCGATTAGCGAAGGAGCGCATCCTGCGCTGTCTTAGATTTCTGAGCACTGGAGTCGTTTCCTGGAAGATGAATGGTGACTGCAATCATGGTTCTCAGATATTATTAATAATGGTCAACAATGTCGATATATGTATGATGGTTATTAGTAATAGTTGATAAATGGTATAGTATATAATGATTAGTTATGCTTAATACATGTTAGTACAATCATACAATGGTGAAGAATACGCTACTAATATGTTGGTAATATTTTAACAATGGTGATTCGGTGACTATGGTGATCAATGGAAGTATCCTTGGTAATCAAACATGGCTAGCTGGGAAATCCCCGAACTAAATAGAGGTTTATAGCTGGGTATCGAACTAAATGGTGGATCTTTTAGAGCACGCCGCACGCCACATTTGACTACCAGAGGGTATCAATACAGTGCATTGACTCAACCTATGGTCACACACACAAAATAACGACATACATATACATATATATATATACATACATATACATACATATACACACATATACACACATAAACATACATATACATACATATACACACACATACACACATAAACATATATATACATACATATACATACATATACACACATAAACATACATATACATACATATACACACACATACACACATAAACATACATATACATACATATACACTCACACATACACACATAAACGTACATATACATACATATACATACATATACATACATATACATACATATACATACATATACATATATATACATACATATACATACATATACACACACATATACACACATAAACATACATATACATACATATACACACACATACACACATAAACATACATATACATACATATACACTCACACATACACACATAAACGTACATATACATACATATACATACATATACATACATATACATACATATACATACATATACATACATATATATACACACATAAACATACATATATATACATATACACACACACATACACACATAAACATACATATACATACATATACACTCACACATACACACATAAACGTACATATACGTACATATACATACATATACATACATATACATACATATACATACATATACATATATTCTCCAATTGGGATTGATAATCACCAACTGGGATTGGTAGGGAGGAATGTTGATGGATCCCTGATCCTATCACCTTGATGTCAACCTTGAAGATGATGTTAAAGTCCCTGACTTACCAACCAATGTCCAAACCCTGCAGGATCAACGGCCGCACCAGTTTTCCAATGGCACAAGCAACGATACCCTCCTGCCGCAGGCAACACTGAGCCTATTCCCCGGCTACGGTGGGATTTGGCTTTCATTGAGGACCCTTGGATATTCATCTCGAACAGGCAGTGATTTGTGATTCCCTCTACTTAAAGTTTTGTTCGAGATGCTGAGATTGCCACAGCAAAATGCCAATATGATTCACTTCCCCATGGAACTTGATGTACAAGCAGTTGCAAAAATCAATCAAAATTTGCTCACTCAAAGAATGGACGTCTTGGCTTTTCCAACTTCCTCAAGTTACTGCTTATCCCCCGTTTTGGAACCATCTGACAAAGTGCGAAGCCACTGCATCCTGGCTCGGGAATCAGACCTCGCGGGGAGAATCTGCGCTTCATCGTGCAAACTGTATCGGCCTCCCTCCACGCAGGCTCTGAGGACACTGGCGTCCATACATTTGGTAAGTGCATCGGCTAGTTGTGCCTGGGATGGTACCCAGCGAATCATGATTCCATTGTTCAAGTGTTCTTTAATCAGCTTTGCTTGCAGTTGTGTGCGAAACTCTTGACAACTGGGTGGAGCGTGGCGACTAATGAGGTCATACAAGGATTTACAGTCAGTGGTAATTATATCATGTTTATTGGAGTTGATCTGTTTAAGGAAATTGTATTGGGGTGGTGGTGCATTCGGTGTGTCATCACTGGATGGTGGGATTGCCGCAAACGCAGGTGGAAGTCTGAGTAGAGTTTCATCGGCCTGTTGCCATCGGCAGCTGCCATCTTGCAGCCAAGCCCAGTACAGACGCACCCAGGATAGGATATCCACGGCTCCTGCCAACGACATTGCCTCTGCCGACAACGTGCTAACAACAACCTTTTGTATTTTCTTGGAGTGCCACACCACTGGGTTTACCGGACTGTTCTTGTTTTCTCCAATGTCCTTGTGACTGGCCATGATGATCATCCCTTGGTGTGAGTCGGGAACTTTTTCCGAAGCAAACGACGCATCAGAGAAGGCTACAAATCTCAGGTGTTCAATTGGATTGGCTGGATTTTGATGGTGACGTTGGCAAACATTTTGGCTTCATGAAGGATTTTATTGGCTTCAAGTAAAGTGGAAATTGTACACTTATTGATTTGTGATTGGAGCCATCCCAACTTACTACAAAGGTCAGGTCTAGTATTGACTGCCGCATATTGGAGAGAACCAACCAACGCTCGGAGTGATTGTCTTTCTGTTTCATTGACTGGGTCATTTGGAGTTTGACGGCGTTCTTTGGGAATTGTTATTGGATGTATATCTTTCACATATTGTTCTTGACTTACCCAAATGGATTGATCTTTTTGTTGGACAATCTTCAAGCCAGTGAACGTGAATTCTCGGCTACGCTTGCTCCCAAAAGGATATTTGGCTTCAAGTTCTGCAAGACGCTTGTGAAAAATAGGAGGCCCACAGCATAATCCATCATCCACATGAATTCCAATCATTCCTTCCGGTTTTCCTTGTTTATCTCTGAGTATGAAGGTGCATGGATCAAATGGAGCTGTTTCAAATCCCAATTTCTCTAAGCTTTGCTTGAGTTCTTGAAACCAGAGAAACGGAGCATCTACCCTCCCGTAGGCTCCCTTGAGCAACCTGACAATTTCATCTTGGCGCAACTTCAGTTTGGTGCGCATTTCAGCAGGAGGTTCCATGCCCAAGACTCTGTCGCTGCATTCGGTTCCTCGCAAAAACGCTGTTTTGATATCAAAACTGTGTATGTCCCATCCAAGGCTAGCAGCATGTTGGAGTATGAGAACCCTTGATAGCTTTGACATGGTTGGGCTGTCTCTTGGGATTTACCATAGGGTCTTCAAATCCTAGAACGACCAAGCGAGCTTTCGGCTTCTGGCGAGGCTGTTGCACGCCAGTGACTATCTTCGGCTTTCCAGTGCTAGGACCTTCATCGACGTCCTTCCACGTCAGGATCCATCGGCATCGCAAGATGTTCTCAGCAGGGACCTGATTCCTCAGGATTCTACACACTGTGCTTGTGGCCAGCCAGCTGTCAACTTCCTTGGACTTGGCATCTTCAAACAATTGACGATCTTTGGGACTAAGAGTTGATATCTTGACTTCACTTCTTTGGCGTTTCGCAGCTGAAACCAAAAAGGACATTTCTTCGGGTCGTGTTTCCTCTTTCCAGTGGTCGATATCCCTTTGGTTAATTTCAACTTCAAAATGATAACAGTGATCTTCATGAAGGTTGAATATCATTTCTTCATCCACGTACAAGCTTTCGCCTTCATCGGAGGTTTCAGGCAGTGGGACTTCATGTGCTGGTAAGTTTACTTGAGGGTTATTGTCAGGAAAGTTCTGTGATGGTGATCTACTGGAAATTGATGTAATGTCAGGTTCTTGATCTGGTTGATCTTTGGGTGACTCCACAGCTGGCCTTTCGGCGGGCTCTGGCATGTTGGGCCCATTGGCCTCAGCTGGTGAGCTTCCTTCGGTGCCTGGTGAGGTACCGATCGTGGGCGGGTCGGCTCCGGTGCTTTCTGGATTTCTTGGGGCAGTTGGATGAGGCAACATGTCATGAAACTGAACACTACCATGAGTTGGTCGAATGCTCAAATCAGCAGGCTTTTGGGTCTCTTGCATTGGGTGGTGCTTGAACTCTTCAAATGCTGAAAGGCTTCTGATATTCAGGGGGTACCCGATAGAGCTTGTGGTGTCTAGTAACCCAAATTACATTTTGCCCTTCTTGGATGATGACTTGCATGGGTCCTATCCAATTTCCTTCTGCCTCACCCTTCTTCTTCCACATCATGACCCAATCGCCACGATCATAGAAGCCACGATGTGGGCGACTACGATGCACGATCGCTCTTCGCAGTGTCTGATCGTTGTCGATCTCTGCGAAAGCCTTTCGGGCGGCTTCACGGGTGGCTAAATCCTGCCGGAATCGAGCTCCATCTGGCAAGTTGGACAGTGCTGTGGCATGAGCGGACACGGTTGGGTCTGAAGTGATTGAACCTGGGACTCTTACCCCTCGACCAAACACTAACATTTCCGGTGGATATCCCCTATGCTTACTCCACTGATTTTTGGTGCTTGTGGCATGGCTTAGTGCTACTGACAGTCCCTCATATGATCCAATTGGTTGTTCATGATCAATCTTATTGAGCATCAGTTGTAGGATTCCGCCATGGCGTTCAGTTCTGGAGTTTTGCCAATGGGCTTCGGCAGCACATGTGCGACACTTGACACTGTGTCTCTGCAAGAATTGTCCAAATTCTTCACTGTTCAATTCAGTGCCAGAATCAACACACAGCAATCCAGGGGGTCCGGCCCAGTTGAACCATCCTGAAATCAAGGCTTTGCATGCATCGTCAGTTGAGTGTCCTGGAGAAACAACTGCAGTGTGGAATAACGTGCTCTGGTCAATGAAGTGATAAAAATGGTATTGATCCCCATTTTTATTCGTCCAAGTTATCCCATCCATAGATACTATATCCCCAAAATCACATGGTTCGTGAATTGCACTCGGCCTTGAGATGGTAGGACCTCGCATTTCTTGGCACGTGGAACATCGCATATCGCTGATGCCCTTCAACAAATGGTCAGGGCACTGCAATTGCTTACAAAAGGTGACAAGCTTTGCCGATCCTGGGTGTCCCAAATTTCTGTGAAGTTTCAGCAACCAATTTTGTTCTTCTGCGCTCAGTTCTTGGAACAGTGGACCATGTTTTTGGCTGGCAAG